CTGCTGCAGTGGCAGAGGCTGAGGTGTCTCCTGGGGCTGTTGCAATGTCACTCTTATCCTCCTGCAGCATGTCCTGTGACACACGGGCTGGGCAGGAGCTGCCTGGGATGGACAAGGCATCCTGGCTGGTGCTGGGAGTGGTAGCAGTGAGGAAAGGGTTTCCTTCTTTGTGTCCTCTCAGTTCAGAGATTCTACAAATATTCAGGTAGCCAGAGATGTGCAAGGCCAGGCTGAATATTGCAAACGTGCAGATCTTCGTACAGTGAGAGGAAAGTTTTAGCTCTCATTTCACTTTAAGAGGTTTGTCTGGGTTATTTGGAAATGACACAGAAAAAAGAAAACTTTGTGTACTCTCGGAAAAAAGAGAGGTTTTTTCCTCCCTCTTTCAATTTCTTTCCTCTCTCTCTGCCCTCTGAAACTCATGTGCTGACTGTCCACAGCACCATCAGTGTGGCTCAAGATGTTCTGGGCCAAGGAGCCCCCCGGGTGGGGGAACAACCTTGCTCTGCAGAGGTGAAGGGTGTTCATGGTGAATGCTCAGGGTCAGTGTCACGGGAGGAGAGCACAGGGATGGAGAAGCCAGGGATGATCTCAGCGTCCCTCACTAAACTCTCCAGTTCTGGAAAGCAATGGCAGTGGAAGGTTTTTTGGGCTTGGTCCTTTCTCTCAGGTAAAATGTGACAGAACCAGGGAAAATGGCCTCAGGTAGCACCAAGTGAGGTTTAGACACTTGGACTCAATGGTCTTAGGGGGCTTTTCCAAAATTATTGATTCTGTGATTCTTGGAAGGGAAAGTCTTCCCTGAACCATCCCAGGATCACCAGTTCCTCCCATACGCACATGAGCACGGACACACAGAGGTATTGAACCACTCAGAACCCAAAGCCTGAGTTTTGCTTTGGGAGGGGCCACTGCCTTTGATGGAGCAGATCGATGTCAGTGCAGATTGACTCCAGATGGAGCAGAGATAAAAGGTCACTCTGCTTACTCCCTGTGGGATTACAAATTTGAACATTTCCAGACCAAGGTCAGTTGGAGACATTCCACAGGTGACTCAGACCAGGAGGTCGATGCCTTTCTCCTCCTCTTACCTGGTGGGATGGGGTGTGGAGCAGCACAGCTCCTGCACTGCCCATAGCAAGGGGGGCTGAGCACAGGGGGACAGGACGAGGAACAGCATCAGGGACAGGTCGTGTGGGCAACCATGGCCATGCCCACCCAAGGGAAACACCACCCACCACAGCTCTGCACACAAGGCTGTGATTGTCAGGGACAAGGAGACACCTGTGACTGCCAGGACCAGGACAAAGGTCCTACTTCCCAGAGGCAGCATCTGAAAAGCAGCTCCATCACTCCCACAGGAAATCCCCTGCACCAACAGGCACTGACAGGCTCTGTGTCCACACTCACTACCAAGCAGGAACATCCTCAGGGACACACACACTGGGCACCCCCAGCATCCCCAGATGCTTCTCCTCACAACAACCCACCTTTGCCACCCCCACAGCCAGCAGGCACAGCACCCCCTCCATCCCAAGGACACACACACACGGCCCACCCCTGCAATGCCAAACTGCTCATCTTTATTCAAGCTGGGAAAAGCAGCCTCTGCCCCACAGAGCCCACGGCTGGGACGAGATGTCTCCAGCCCAGCAGCACCCAGCAGGAGCAGCTGCCACTGCTGCTGTCCCAGCAGCCGGGCATGGCAGAGGCAGGGAGGGGAGAGGACATCAGGAGATGGTTCCAGGAGCCAGAAGTGAAGGGAACATCCTGCTTGGACATTTCAGGGTCTCAACCCCACATGCTGTATAAAGAAAGCAGGGAAGCACATCTGTTATAACTTTTCCTCCCACTCTCTCCCACCTTCCCTGCAAGAACCATCCAGTCTGTGGTGCAGGACACTCAGGCTCAGCACAGGGGAGGCCCAGTCCTTTGTGCAGACAGTTTGGACCTGGCTTATCTTAGTGGTGGCAGCCCTGACTCCAGGTCTGTGCAGATGCAGCAAAACCTGGTTCATGTCCTAGGTGTTGTACAAGGACAGCAAATGCTTCTCTCTTTGGTGGCTTGGGTGAGTCCTCTGCAAAGCCTGAATGAGCCTCCCAGCACTGGAGGAGAGTGGGGAGACACTGGCTGACCTGTGGCTCCTGCAGCCCCATTCAGGGCTTGTCCAAACCCACCAGGGCTTTTGCCTTCCTTCTTGGGCCTCTCCCACAAACCATAAATGCAGGAGATTATTTGACAGGTATTGACACAAAACAAATTTCTAACAGATTTTCCTGGGCAAAGGAGTACACCAGTCCCCAGGAATGCAGACCTTATCTTTTGCAGCACACACTGTACAGGGTGCATCTCCCAATAGGTCTTGCAGGGTAGTTGCATCTTCCATAGGTGCAGTATCCCCCTCGCTGTCTGCATCCAGCTGCATTTCAGGTTTCCATGGGGAAAAATATGCATAGAATAATTAAAGCAATAGTCTGAGAGAGCTGAGTTTGGTCACAAAAGGCTGACACTGCCCATGCATTTCAGGCCAATAGATGGGCTCAGCTCCAACCTCTCCACAGCGAAGATCGACCGCAGTGCAAAAGATCCTCCAGAGGCACCCAAACAGGAACAGCTGGGTGCAGGGGGTTGAAGGATAAAACACAAGCCCCTTCCTGCCCCACAGTAGAAGCCTGACTTCTATTTCCAGGGGCTCCCTTCACCCCATGTCTGTGTCCACTTAGACAATCACCTTTCTCCTCAACCTCCCCTACCCTTCACATCACTCCGACTGATATGGTCACTTCCTGAGACACGGAAAATCCCAGTGATGAGGGTTTGCACCTCCTCCCATCTCCCCTTTTCCCCTCTCACCTGAAGCACCCTGGACCAGCAGCAGGAGCAAGGGGAAGAGCAGGTACAGGATCTTCATGGCTGATCCACCTCTCCCACGTCTTCACAGGGCTGCAGAGGGGACACCAAGGCAATGAGGACATGGAGGAACCCAGGGGGAGCAGAAGCCTGGCCACTGGGGTTCCCCAAAGTGCAGAGGGGCTGCCTCCAAACACAGCACATGATCTTCCCTCTACCTTTCTCTTATGAACAATTCTGAGGTCTGTGCCACTCTACAGACCTGGTGAGTATTCCACAATGTCTCAGTCTCTGAGAAATTAATTACCTAAGCTGATTCTTTCCCAGGAAACCCCACAGTTACCTGCCTGATGAAGGTCTTGGTGTTCAGGCAACAGCAAACCCAAGAGAAATCACCTGAGTCTAGATGTGCTCCTTGGGTCCAAGGAGCACTTTTTTGGCCAAAATGCTCTGATTTTATATCATTGCAGATTGCAGGAACATTCCCTCATTCTTGCTGACACATCTGCCCTGGGCCAATCAGAAAACCCACCATCAGTGAGGGGGGGAAGGGGGTGTTACCCCTCATCCCTCCCTGCTGCAGTGGCAGAGGCTGAGGTGCCTCCTGGGGCTGTTGCAATGTCACCCTTATCCTCTCCTGCAACACATCCTGTGACACCCCCTGCACAGCAGCACAGGCTGTGGTGGCCTGGCATGACCTGCCAGGGATAGACAAAGGAGGCTGGTTGATGCAGACTCCAGCAGAAATCAGTCCTAACCAGTCTTTACCGTGTGAGGCCCTGGCACAGGTTGCCCAGAGAAGCTGGGGCTGCCCCATCCCCGGGAGTGTCCAAGGCCACGTTGATCAGAGTGAGATCACACCTCACCCTGTCTGAATTCACTGCTCCTAAAACTGCCATTCTTGGCATAAAAAAGCAAAACTCGCTGTAAAAGCGTGCAAACTATGGGAGATTAATGAAGGAAGGTGAACAGGGCCTTATTAGGCCTTGGAGATGTGGACTTGATCAAGAGAGTTTGTGAATTTATAGGAAGTCTGTGATGTTTTAGAAAGGTGGATCAGGTGGATCAGGAGAGAAGAGGTGATGGGATAGAAAGAAGGAAGGCATCCCTTGTGGCATGTCTTGTGGCCCAGCTCAAGTAAGCATGGCCATGCCCTACATCTGATTACCATAATCCGTCCTGTGCTCTGAGTAAACTTTAATTCTAATCATTTTATGGACAAACAATCTCTCTCTGGCATGTCTCTGTGCCTATGCAGTCCTCTAGCAAGCTTCAAACCAGAGCACTGGTTACGGGAGAGAGCACCAGGAGCGTTGGTCCATTGCCCAGAGGTACCAAAGTCCTGGGAGTTGGATCCTGGAGAAAACAAAGGGGCTTTGAGGTTGGATGCATCAGGGACACAGGGTCTGGTGCCGACATGCATGGAATCATGGAATGGTTTGGGTTGGAAGGGACCTGAAAGATCATCTCATGTGATGATCCAATGCCCTGCCATGGGCAGGGACACCTTCCACCAGACCAGGTTGCTCAAAGCTTGTTCAACCCAGCCTTGAGGCACAATGGGGATATTCCCTGAGCATCAATCCACAGAAGTAGGATTGGGCATGCCCCAGCACTTACCCCTAACTCAATCCCAAGCTCCTAAGATGGCACAGCCATCAGTCCCTATTTCCTCTGGAGCAGAATGGCTTCCCCCACCCCCAGCTACCCCTGGACCCCACAAAACAACCCCCTGGTGCCAGAACACCCAGGCCCCACAGCTGGGGATGGACCCAAATGTGTGTGTCCAGTGTGTGTCCCACGAGGACTCCTAACCCAGTTTGGGATCCAGGGGTAAACCAGAGGGCCACCCACTGAAATTAAGGGGGTCATAGCAACCAATCAATCCCTGACCCCAAATGGGAGGTGCAGGGGTGCCCTTGCTGAGCGAGAAGGCTGGTGTTGAGCTCCCTGTGGGTGTCATGTGCATCCCCCCTCCCTCCGTGAGTGGGACGCTGGTGTGGTTGGGCCAGCTTGGAAAGAGGGTGGATGTGTGGGGGTGTTTGTGGGTCCGTGTCTGTCAGGAATTCACCCCATCTGCTCTGCCTTTCCCTACAGGCAGAGGAAAGAGATGCACACCGAGGACACACACACACACACACAGAGACATCTTGGCAGCGGGAATGCAAACCACCACCTTGTATTGGGGATATTGGGGTAAAGGGATTCCCGTGGGATCGTGGTCTGGCTGTCCAGGGTTGTCACTGCTCCCAGCGGCGCTCAGTGCCTCCACACAGCATCGTCCTGACCACGCAGAGAGGGCAAGGGCTGGTCTCAGAGACTGTCACCAGGGATCCAGGAACCCCTCAGGGATACCATCTCCTGCAGGAGGAAAGGTCTGGCAGTGCCTGTCCCAGCCAAGGCAGCCGTGAGGGCTCAGGGATGCCCCCATACCCCTGGGCATATTGCATATTGCCCCCCTCTTTCCCCAACAGCCTCACCTCGAACCCCCCTGAGCCCTCTGAGCAACCCAAAACTTACATCCGACAGCAGAATTCCTGCTCAGAGCAGAGGCCAATGCGGCCGATCCCAGGAGGGCAGGACCGGTGGGAGCAGAACCCCCCACGGCGCTCACATTCCTGGTGGGATCCTTGAGCCAGGGACAGCCCTGCAGAGAACCAGGAGAGGAGACCTTGAGGACAACCCTGCTGAGGTGCTGAGCACAGCCCCTGGTCCCCGTGTGGCCAACATTGGCCCAGCCCTGCCTGTCCCTTGCCAGGAACGGTGTGCAGGTGTCTGCAGCAGAAATCAAGGTGATGTTTACGACACTTGGATGGGATGGTCAGCACCACCCCTCAGCAGGCTCTGAGGAAAGGCTCTGCATCATGCCTGTTGCCTCCCTTCTGGGAGAGGAATCCAAAGGTGGAAGCAGGGTCTGCCCTCCTCTCACCTCCTCCTCTCCAGCAGGGCTGCTGTACCCAGTGCCCCAGAGAAGTAACGGATAAGAGGTATGGAAATGGTGGCAAAACCTCATCCCCGGAGCACAAGAGTTTTAATACAAGGTTCCAGCTCTGGTCCCAACTGCAGAACCTGCAGCAGAAGCCTTTCCTTAAAGGTATGGGATGAGAGGGACCCCAGGGAGAACTCACCAGGAGAACTCACACCTGACTCATCAGCTCAGCTGGCAAATCCTCCCTTCAAAATATTTACAAAGGACAAACCCTCCACCTCCTCCTCCACATTTCTTACCTGTCACTCCCAGGAGCATCAGGAGGAGCAGAGCACAGAGGACAGGCAGGACCCTCATGGCTGGGAGTTGCCGGCAGGGTCACAGCTCTGGGGAGAAGAGAAAGGAGGCAGAGATGAATGGCAGGGTCCCTGCCTGCAGGCTGTGTAGCACCTGCTCAGGGACAGAACTGAGGAGAGGGGATGTCACCAGTCACTGACAGGAGGATGAGCTCAACAGCCCAGGGGTAGGAGCTCCCACAGCCTCTCAGGTCCCGGCGGCAGCTGCAGCAGTTTAGTCCCAGCCAGCTGGTCTCCCCACGTAGCACAGTGTCCCTTGGGATGGCTGACACCTCAAAATGTCCAGCCAAAAAGCTCCTTTTCCTGTTTCTTCCCCCGCCAGAGAAAATGAGGCATAGTTTTCCTCCTCTGACACCTCTGAGAAGGATTCCCAAGCCTCCAGCCCGGGGTCTTGTGTCATCCCACCTTGCGTAAGGGACGCTTGGTGCTGTGGTTTGCTGGACACCTCTTGGGACACACACAGCATCCCTGTTCGTTAGACCTTGGCCAGCAATCAGCTTTCACAACACAAAGGAGCTCTGTCCTCCTCCCCACCACGTGAAGGCGTGCTCTCTATGCTTCGCTGGAAAATAACTGGGAAGACGCCACACGGGATGACATCGCCATCCAACTGGCAGCCCCGTGAAGGACAAGCTTTAATTGCGGCTTTGTTTTGTGGAGTTTGCTGTATGTAACCCTTTACTGGTTCTCAGTGTGTTGGTGGTGCATCTTCATATATGTTTTCAGCCTTCTTGCAGATTCATTGAGCATATATGTGTGTGTGTGTGTGTGTATGTCAAAAACCTACTCATGCACCATAATTTATATTCCCTGAGTGGTTGCATGAATCATAGAATCACAGGATAGGTTGGCTTGGAAGGGACCTTAAAGCTCATCTCATTCCAACTCACTGCCATGGGCAGGGACACCTCCCACTAGCCCAGGTTTCTCCAAGCCTTGTCCCACCTGTCCTTGAACACCTCCAGGGATGAGGCAGCCACAGCTTCTCTGTGCAACCTGTGCCAGGGCCTCACCACCCTTACATGTTCAAAGAGGGCTGCTGGGGCACTGGGGTGAGCAGATCTCCTGTTCTTCACACTTTTTTTCCCATGAAACAATGTCCTCTCTCAGACCTGCACAGGAGGAGAGGGGCTGTGCTGAAAGACTGACAGCAGCACCATTGCCAGGAGTTGGATCCCGTGATCCCTGTGAGCCCCTTCCAACTCAGGGTATTCTATGATTGTGTGATTAACTGGGATGTGGTAGAAACCTAAGAGGCACAGACCGTGATTTTTGTGTGACCAGCTATTCCACCAAGGGCTTGATATGTGTCTCAAATGAGCTTTTTAGCCACTGCATGTCTGGCTGTGGCATGGACAGTCCCACTCCAGCAGTTCAGTTATAATCTGTCTGGCTTTATCTAATCCATCTTCAATACCATCTCTACCTCTTGGGAAGAGCTGTGAGATGAATTCGGAGCAGGTTGTCCAGAGAAGTTTTGGATTCCCCACCCCTGGAATTGTTCAAGGCCGGGTTGGTCAAGGCTTGGAGCAACCTGGTCTAGTGGAAGGTGTCCCTGACCATGGCAGGGGCTTGGATCTAGATGATTCTAAAGTCCCTTCCAACCCAAACCATTTAATGATTCAATGAATTTGAACGCTAGTATAGAGTGCTAGGGCAATAGAATTGGGATAAGAAGCGGGGGGGAGATGTGCAGCATAGATCCTAAGGGGTGAGATTTCAGCATGTGTTTCACTCTAAGCTGGCTCTTGAAGCCATTCCCAAGCCATGAAGGCAAAGACTTCTATTTGTGGTGGTGAACTGAAGGCATGATGATAAAAGATGCATTCTGCATGATGATGTTTCCAGACACTGTCTCCAGACCTAAATCTAAAATAACAAGGGCTGAAGCCTCTCTGCAAAGCCCTCAGTCCTTGAGCAAAACATCTTGAGCCATTCCAGTTTGTGAAAGAAACACTCACCTTCCGTGGATTGTGCAAAACTTCTTAGGACATAAACTGTAAATTGCTGCTTTGGTTCCCCTTGGCAATTTCCTCAGGTTTCCATCCAGGGGAATCCCTGGGAGGTGGCCGTTGGCCCAGTTTCCTGCCCTTCACGAGGCTGTGGTTTCAATGGTGGCAGAGTCATTGGCAGAAACAGCTGCTCTGAACAGGCCCAGAGACTGTGGGAGCTGGGCCTATTCAGTCTTAGAGCAGCAAAGTCTGAGAGGGGTTCTCATTAATACATATAAATATCTCAAAGGCAGGTGCCAAGAGGATGGTCCCAAACTCTTTTTTGGTGGTATCCAGGGACAGGATGAGCAGCAGTGGCCAGAAACTAAACACAAGAAGTTCTGCCTCAACATGAGGAAGAACTTCTTTCCCTTGAGGGTGGCAGAGCACCGGAACAGGCTGTCCAGGGAGGGTGTGGAATCTCCCTCTCTGGAGAAATTCTAAACCCACATGAATGTGTTCCTGTGTCACCTGCTTCAAGTGATCCTGCCTTGACAGGAGGATTGGACTGGATGATCTCCAGAGGTCCCTTCCAACCCTAAAAATTCTGTGATTCTGTGAAGAGAGGGCAGATGCTCTGCAAAAAATGGGGAGCTCAGGGCTTCGAGTCAGTCCTTTGCACATAGGTATTTGGGTTTGTTGTGTACCTGAAAAGCCAACCATTACTTCTCCTATCTTCATAGAATCACAGGATAGTTTGGGTTAGAAGGAACTTTAAAGATCATCTAGTTCAACCCCCTGCCATGGGTAGGGACACCTTCCACTAGACCAGGCTGCTCAGAGCCCTGTCCAACCTGGCCTTGAACACTTCCAGGGATAGGGCAGCCAGAGCTTCTCTGGGCAACAAGGATCACAGAATCACAGAACCAATTAAGTTGGAAAAGACTTCTTAGATTATCAAGTCCAACCTATACAAGTCCTTGTCTGCACAAGGATGTTCTTGGTGGTGCAGGAGCAGCTGCAGAGACAGGAGCTCACCAAACAATCTGCGCTTTCTGAGTTTTCTGTTACGGTCTAACAGTCCAGGGCAGCATAGGATGAGCCTCTTACAAGAGAAGTAATCAAAGTAACAGGGGTATTGGCCTCTTGTACACATTGTCTAATTGTCTCAAGTGATGTCGTAGGTCTAGCTCAGATCTCCTGATTTGCAACAGAAGCCAATATAAATTTTGCAGATTTACTCCGAATTTACATCAGATGGAATAACCAAAGGGAAAGTCAGGCTTCAGTTTGTAAACTGGGGTCACCTGCCTCTCTTTGTCCTGCTCAGTGTGTCTTTAGTTCCTGTAATGAAAGAAGATAACTATGCCCAGGTCTGAAAGCTCTGGACCAGGAGGTGGGAACTGAAAGTTTTCAGAGCACAAGGTGCTATGAAGCATCCACGCTGGAGAAGACTTTTGTGCTCCCTATGGAAATGATGACTGATCCCAGTTTTAGTCACGGTAGAGGATCCCTAGCAGGGATGTGTGAAGAACATGCCGGTATCCACTCAATCAGCAACCCAAGACAGGAAAATATTTTGGTAAATTAGGTTTTCCTGGTAAGTTTAGCCTGATTTCAGAATTCTTGCTTGAAATTCTAAATGGAAATAAGACTTCTGGAGAAATTAATTACAACAAACAGCCACACCAACTTCCCAAATCTTGCTTTTATTGAAAGAATGACAAATCCTTGATGACTGGTACAACAATTCCCAGAATCCAGCGATGCCAAAAGCAGTCATCCCTGGAGATTCTCCACAGCTAGCCACACTACAGCCTGCACAAAGGAAAGGATGTTTCAGAATTATGATGATGAGGAAAGCCTTACTCAGGGCCCAGCTGAAAATCTGGGGAGCCATCTTTGCCCCATTTAAACCCTAAACTTACCATCTGCAGCAATTGTACCCAAAACGACATGACCCCAGGTAAGCGTTGCCACGAGGGCATTTCCCACTGTGGCAGAAAGTCCCACGGTATCCACATTCCATGTAAGGTCTTAAGGGTCCTGAAAAGCTTCTACCTTAAAAAAGAAAGAAAGAAACAAACAAACAAAACCAAGAGACAGCTATTTCTGTCAGGGTTTTGCATTTTGCTAAACTCCTGTGAGCTGAGACAGTGCCACACCTGTGCCCAAACACAGCCTTAATGCAGCCCTCAGAGGAGGAGGCCAGTGGGCAGAACAGCAAAGCATATGCTCTAATTCCTTCTTCAGATGTAAGAACTGTGTCTCCAAGCCCAGGACTCCTTTAGGACCTCACGTTTTAAAAGGTAGATACCAGGGACCTGACAGAAAACAGTAAGTGGGCACTTAGCAGCTCTGAAAGTCTTGTAGGTCACACTTGAGGAGGGCTCAACTGGCAGGATCCCTCTTGTACAAAAAAGAGGGAGAGAGATTTTCTACATGGACAAATAGTGACAGGACAGGGTGGAAAATTTTTACACTGAAAGAGGAGAGATTTATATTAGGTTTTAGGAAGAAATTTTTCCCAGTGAGGGCAGTGAGGCCGTGGCACAGGTTGCCCAGAGAAGTTGTGGCTGTCCCTGGAAGTGTCCAAGGCCAGTCTGGACAGGGCTTGGAGCAACCTGGGATAGTGGAAGGTGTCCCTGCCCATGGCAAAGGGTTGGAATGAGATGATCTTTAAGGTCCCTTCCAACCCAAGCCATTCCATAATTCTGTGGTTGTGTAGATTTGGCCTATTTTCCTGCCTATAAATTTCAGCTATGTCTCAAAACAGGTCCTGGTGTCCATACATGGATAAATTCATGTAGAACAATTCCATGTTACCAAACACCCCAAACCAGGCATTGCCCTCTGGGTCTGAGGCCTGGCAGCCTGGCAGTGCTCTTACCTACATGGCTACACTATCTTCTCCATTAAAATAGGATCCCCACATTCAAACTGCCTTTTGGGAATGGCTACCAGCCTTTGCTATTCCCAGAACAGCTTTTTTTTCCATGGCAGTGCTAGTTGTCAGGGATCAAAATGACCCCAGGGAGCAGACTACTAATTAGGCAGCCTGTTGCCTGTTTGGTTAATTAACAGAGATGTAGCCTGGCAGCTGATGTGTTCTGGATGCACCTGACTGACTGCACATGAACCAATTAATTCCAGTTTAGCAGCTCATCCATGGAGCTACACTAAGTCCAGCATATTTGGAGAGAGGAGAGCTTGTTTCAGCACACAAACAATGGATATTGCACATTCACAGTGGATCCAGCACATCCCTGGTGTGTCAGATTCCCAGCACGTGAGTGGATTGGTGCATGCAGAATATGGTGCACCCAGAAATACCCCGAAAATCCCAGGCAGAAATAAAACAGAAGGGTGAATAAAACACTTCTGGTGCCAAACTATCTTTCTGTGAGACATTGCAGAGGTGATTGTGAGCAGTCTGAGCTCTCAGAAGCACTTTTTTTTCCAGAGAAATTTCTTGCTTTTTATATCCAGAAGAAAGGTCCTACTGTAAACAGGCCAAGCATCCACTGTGTGTATTTGGGTGTTAAACAAGGACATAAAATAGACCAAAGGAATGCTTTGCCCTGTGTCCTGCCTGTGAGAACTGCCATGAGCAGAGGCCCAGGTAAGAATAAGATCAGACAAGCATATGGAATTATAAACTCATGGAATCATTTAGGTTGGAAAAGATCTCCAGGGTCATCGAGTCCAACCATTCCTCCGGCACTGCCAAGCTCACCACTAACCCATGTCCCCAAGTGCCACATCTACACATGCTTTAAATCCCTTCAGGGATATTTATGACACTTCTCCCACATTTCCGGTCTTCTGCAGTTCATCACAGTCTTTTCCCATCCTTACTCCCCCAAAGGACACTTTCCATCCTGTCCCCACAGAGATCAACCCCAAAACTCCCCCGGGTGCTTGTTTGTGCACAGAGTGCCCTGCAACTGCAGTGGTGCCATTTTCAGAGGCGGTGTTAAAACACAAACCCTTTTCCTGGATAATAGGGGAGGGTTGGTGTTCCTGACTCCTTTGCATTCCCCCAACAGGCATAGCCTTACACCACCACTTATGGTTGCACAGGCTTCTCCACTGAGGAGATGCAACCAGTAGAATTTCGGTCCTAACTCATCGTCTTCTGTCTCCTTACTCCAAGAACAAACTCCTGAAAAAAAACAATATTTGGAAAATATGGGACAAGATTCCTTTTATTTGCTGTGTGGCTTAAAAATATTCAATTATGGTTTGATTTGTTTGTTGCAGGGTGACTCAGAAGCAAGTTGATTTAAGTACAAGTCTGCAACCTCTAATGGGGAAAACACTGGTGTTGAATGGTAATTTTGGGGGTTCCCCTCTTGCTTTCACCTCAGACTGGATTTCCAGAGGAGTAGCAAAGGCACTGAAGTGATGGTTGGAGTGTTTGCCTGCAAATTTCATGTATCATCTGTAATCTGCCAACAAGTTTTGTTGGTATGTGTGAAGATTCTTTCCAGGATGCAGCTTGGCCACGTCCCAGAGGGGACGGGGACACCTTTGTAAGACACCAGCACCTCCTTTCTCTATAGTCCCTCACCTTCATTTACACCTTACCTGCAGCTCCATGAAATGCCACCAAGAGGAGAACAAAGAGAAAGGGAAGGATTTTCATGGTAGAGGGTGGGCTGGAAACCCGAGTCCTGCAGAAAAGGAGACCAAGACATCAGTGAGAAGGTTGTCCCGCCACAGTCATCATGGGCTAAGAAGTGACACACAGACATATTCTTCAGGACCTAGGAGTTATCTAGAAGAGGTGTTACACATTTTTGTTATGATAATGTCTATTGTCCTAAGGTTTCCCTGGAGCATACACAGGATCGTGGCATAGGAAGAAACTATCACGCAGAAAATGCTATTTTAAACCCCTTTTTGATTAATGCATTAAGTACCCAGATATTTATTCCTGATTTCTTGATACTTTGCAATGCATTGCAATACATTTGATTTGCTTTATGGAAGTTAAAGCTGTTAATTTAAATAGAAAAATAAAAAAAATTTTGCCATATTTATACAAAACAACCCAATGTGTGTTCTCAAGTTTTTCTAATTAAGAAAAAAAGAGCAGAAAAAGTTCCTTCACAATTAAATCAAAGTCCAGTTTCTCCTTATTCTTTCTTAGAGGCTGTCACCTTTCCTTCACTTCAAGAATTATATGATTTCCAGGATAAATTTTTGAATGTTTACATTTCCTGCTGCCAACAAAACCTCTTCTGCCTTGTCAATATATGAAGCTTCCAGAATGGACTCCTGTCAGACTGGAGTCACTGCACAGTTAAGGCTAAAACAGTGAAATGCAGCTAAAACTGAAAGATATGAAGCCTCCAGCCAGTTCAAGAATGGCAAAAATTTCTAAGAGAGGCTAAATAGCGAGAAGATTTTGGTTGTTACCAGGTAGGAGGAGGCTCTGGGTTGGACCAGTCCTTGGGTCAGTGTCAGCCACTCCGATGCAGGAAGATGAAGGAGCAGAGCGTGGCCTTGTGCTGTTTCTGGAGGGATGGTGAAGGATGGTTGATCTCCACAGCCTTCTGGTGGCCAGTCACACAGTCCCTGTGACTTTGGGGTGACACAATGACTCCTCTTTGTTGCCATCCTCCTATGAGGAACCAAGGTATGGCTTTCAAAATGTTGCAGCATCCACTGGGGAAATGGGTTGAGCTGCTCCAACCGCCTCGGGCCACCTCCCTTTGAGCAGCCCTTGGGTCACAGCAGCTCACTCAAGGTCTCTGGGCCATATGTTGTCTTCTGGCCAGCTGGGGCTTGGTGGTATCTGCTCTCTAGTATGATAAAATAAATATATAATGAATATATGATAGATATTTATACAATATATAATATATTAATATAATGTCACATATAAATACATCATAAATAGATATATAATACCTAATATATTATTTAAATATATATATTATATAATAAATATAATATATAATATATACTTTATACATTATATATTATAATATATTTTATATATATACATAACCATAATGAATAAAATAAAACCAGCCATGCAGGCTGTCCTGTTCCAGTGTGGTCATTCTGCACAGCTCCATTGGAAGCTGGTGCTGTGTGATGGGAACCCTCAGGGAAATGTTACATAGTGGAGTCTGGTGGGATTTACCCAGCTGATGTCCACAGAGCAAGAATCCTTCAAAGGATACCCCTCAACCACAGTTTTGGTTCCTGTGGCATGGAAGAAAATTATAAACCTGGAGCTAATATATATATATACATATAAAATATAAACAGATATATAAAATATAAACAGATATATAAAATATAAACACATATATAAAATACAAAGCTAATGTAAATATACATTATATATATTATATAAATTATATAAATATATATAATAATACAGTGTCAACCAGTATTTGAGGAATACAGAATGATTTCTAGCTCTAGGTATTAATTTTGCCTTCTGCAGTGATGTGCTTCAGGTTTTGATGAGGATAGTCATGTGCATCCGAGTGTTACTAATGAACTAGCCAGTTATTTAATTTACCATATAAATCCCAGCAGGAATGTCTCCTTAAATGCCTGCAACTGTCTAGTGGGGAAGCGCCGTCTCCATCTGTTTTCAGAGGTTTCATATTAATTCCTTGAAAATATGAACCTTCTATCACCCTAAAAAAAAAATAATTATCAGCTAGATAGGTTTAAAACCCCCACCTAAACCTATGTTAAATGGGAAGTTCATTCTTCTCTGGAAATTTAGGAAGAAGGTTAATGACCTGTTATTAATACTGCATCATTTCTACTGTTGGGATAGAAAATTTGGGTAGTTCTATTTTGATTAAGAACATGGAAAAGATCTGCACTAGAGATTGGTGGGGAAAAAGGTGCGAGTAAAATAGTAATCCAATAGTCAGGAGTAAAAAAAGAAAAAAATTTTAAAAGTGATTTGGTTTTTTTAAACTTTTGCACCAAACCATTTTTAGTACTAATTGCCTGCGCTGTGTGTAAGATATTTTAAGCCACATCTATTTATGGAAATCATTACAGCCCACGCTCAGCAATTTTAGTTTTATTATAGCCTTTACTCTCTTGTCACGGGCAGAAGAGCACACTGAGCTACAGCACAGCACCCCTAAGTGTCCCACTCCTTTCTCGAGGACTCCCCCAATGGTTTCCTGCTTTCCAGGGATTTACAGACATTTCTACAAATTCAGGCGTCTGTTGCAATGGGATCTTCACTTTTATACCTTTTTTTCCTTCTGGAATCTGACCCGTTTCGTGGGAGTTGCCGCTCTCCTCTGCCAGCTACATGAGCCCCGCTGAGCTCAGTCCCCCCTGCCAGAGCCTCCCTCGACTCGCTCTTCGTGCCCTGCAGGGATTTTTCTTAGATCTCTTTGTTTTCTTTCCCAGCCAAAGCAAATACTTCACCGACGTTTCTAGCACAGCCCTTTAAAACAGCTTTCAGGCTGCCCGAAGTCTTCTTGTTTCTCTGGACTGCTCCTTTTGGTGCTTTTCTTTCCTCATTTTTGTTTTTGTTTTGAGTTTCAGTACTCTCGTGTTGAATGCACCTACAAGGTGGTTAAACCTAATTGTACTCACTTTTACCTAGCAGCTCTCACAAACAGCTTTGGAATTAGGTCCTTTGCACCTAATCCAGGAAGGCAAATGTTCCTGTGGGTGCCCGGACTAGCTGTTCTGAGAATCACCATCTTGCAGCCACAAAAACACGATCTCTGCATCTCCTGACATCACCCAAAATCACCCCTCAGAACTTGCAGTTTAAGACCGTTCCCCCTTGCCCTGTCACTCCAGACCCTTGTCCAAAGTCTCTCTACAGTTCTCCTGGAGGCCCTTTAGGTACTGGAAGGGGCTCCAGTGTCTCACCAGAGCTACTCTTCTCCAGGATGTACCTTTGTTGAAGACCTGAGGGTTTGTTTTTTTTTTATTAGAAGAGGTTCCTGAACACTGAAATCCAGCAGAGAAAAGCACAGCCAAACCAGTGGCTGGAAGGCAGCCAGAGCAACTGGGAGTTGGCAGTGAAACTGGGGAGAGTGGATAGCTCTGGGAATATCTTCTGGAAGGCCTTTTGGCTTTCTCCTTCTCTGCTTGGCATTGTTACGGGGCAATAACGGCACGACCTGTTTGACATGGAAATTTATTCCCAGCTTGGAATACAGCCTTTGAGCAGGAGGAGAGGCTGAAAAAGGACAGCTGAGACACCTTGGGGTGGGTTCTTCCCAGCAATGATGATGATGGAGGGCAGGGGATGAGTTGATGAGGTTCTCACACATCTTCTGCAGGTGACAAGAAGGATCACACCTGCATGCACCCTTGCAGCTTCTTCACTTCTGGATTTGCAAGCAAAGATGCTTCTTCAACATTTCATCCTCAGCTCTGGGAAAGGCTTTGCATGCAAAAAAAAAAAAAAAAAGGGGGAGGTTTCTAGGAATGGGCCATTTGGCAACCATGTATTTGTTACTGTGGAGGACAAGGCTCAGAGACAACGAAAGCTGAGCTTCACTTGGCTCCAGAGCCCTTAATTGCACCCCTGACTTTATTAAAATGCTTCTCTGGAGCTGGGCCCAACAGCTCAACATTGTTAATTAATGAAACATGAATGTGGACAGGACTGTCCCTTCCACCTGTGACAACGTTAACCCACTGACCCCCAATCTAACCACTGGAGTTGAAGCTGCAAAGATGCCAAGTTATGGTAAAAAGCAATGCTGGACATGGACAGAGACCCTGGGGATGCTCCCACGAGAAGTGACAACCAGGCAAGGACATCTCTGAGTGGTTTGCTGGCTCCTGTTAAGCTTCAGACTCTGGGCTTTGTTCTCGGACTTGCAAAAAAACAATCATTAAAATTTAAAAAACCCCACAATAGTAAATCTATGAAAGCCTCTGAACACACACACATCCAACAGCCCAGCTGATGTGCAAAGTTTTGGGAGCTTCCTGCAGGATTTTGCAAAAGCAATGACAAAACCTTGGATGATATTTGGACCTAATTAAACCCCCTTTCGTGGCTTTTCCTGTAGTGACCTGCTGGGGATTTATTTCCTAAAAAGCAGCCAGGGATGCAGGCTGTAGGGCTGGGAATTGGAATAAAAAGCAGACGAGACATCTCTGCACACACAAGGGCCCCTGGAGCCGCCGACGATTGGGATTCCGTTTACACAGAGGTTTTGTCTTTGGGGTAGGAGGTGGGGGGAAAACAACCGGATTAATTTACGGGTCCGTGCACACCAAGTCCCGGCTGCCACCTAGTGCTCATCCCTGCGTCACGGGGACATCGCGGGCATCGCACAGGGGGACAGCGGGGCGGGCTTTGTGCCAGTTGACAAAAACCCGAGGGACATCAGGGTGGGCTTGTGCCAGCGCACAGAAACCTGGGACACATCGGGGTGGCCTTGTGCCAGTGCCAAAAAAAAAAAACCAGGACACATCGGAGTGGGCTTGTGCCAGTGCACGAGAGCCTGGGGGACATCAGGGTGGGCTTGTGCCAGTGCACAACAACTTGGGGAATACCGGGATGGGCTTGTGCCAGTGCACAGTGGCCCCAGGGGTCTCGGGCTGGTGCAACCCCCGAGGTGTGACGCAAGCACCGTGACGTCACACCACCCGGCGGGAAAGGGCACTGGGGGAGGTGCCCCGAGGGGTGGGGGCCGGGTAAGGGCTGGCGGGGCGGCACCGGCCTCGGCGGCTCCTTCTTCTTCCTCCTCCGCCTTCTCCTCCTCCTCCTCCTCCTCCCCCTCCCCTTCCTCCCTTTCCTCCTCCTCCGCAGGATGCGCGGGGCCATCCCGGGGCTCAGCCTGGCGCTGCTGGCGGCGGAGCGCGGGGCGAGTGAGTGAGCGCGCAAGATGCGCGCAGGATGCGCGGGTCTGTGGGGAGGCTGCGCCACCCTAAGAAGGGGGGAAGGCGGGTGGGAAGGTGGCAGCGGCCCCTCTACGGACGTCTCCGGGATACTGGGTGACTCCTGGGGACCGGGGAGTGGGGAATCACCCCTGCGCTCCCGCGGAGAGGGGGAGATGCGCGGTTCCGCCAGCGGGCTGGGGCGTTCAGCATCCCTGCGGACCCGGCCGGTCTCTGGGGGGTTTAATATGAAAAACTGGTGGGTTTTTTCAGTTTTCAAAATTTCATTTATTTATTTATTTATGTATTTTGGAGCCTGAAGTTTTTATCAGAGCCCTTCTTGGGGCCGGGCCCCTCGGTGGCGGTGGCTGTGCCACGGCTGACAAGACACCGGGAGCCGGCGGCTGGAGATAAGACTGGGACAAGGGCTGCGAACCCCCTTGGAGGATGGGAGATGAAATTGTGGCGGGAATGGCTTTAAGCTGAAAGAGAGTAGATTTAGATTGTATATCAGGAAGAAATTCTTCCTCGTGAGAGTGGTGAGACCCAGGCCTGGGTTGCCCATAGAAGCTGTGGCTGCCCCATCCCTGGAAGTGTTCAAGGCTAGGTTGGATGGGGCTTGGAGCAACTTGGCTTAGTGGAAGGTGTCCCTTCCCTTGGCAGGGATTGGAACTGGATAGTATTTAAGGTTCCTTATAACCTAAACTTTTTAAGAATTCTGTGACTGTGGGTGGCATGTCTCAGTTGTTGGGCTGTGTGGCTGTGGCAGCCCTCAGCGCTGCTTCTCTGCCCTTCTCCAGGGCTCTGTGCCATCATCCATTACCTTGTCCATGGGCAGCTGGGCTGGTTTGGGCTGACCATGGCCTGTGTGGTGCCCGGCTATGCCGCTCAGCTCCTCAGCATCCTCTGGTTCCGGGCGGACGGACACCCACACAGCTGCTGGCTCCTGGTGCTCCACCTCCTCCAGCTGGGCCCCTGGAAGCGGTGAGAGATGCTCCCTGTGACCCATCCAACCCCCCCCAAAACCAGGTGCAGTCCCAAACTTGCCAAAACTAGGGTGGACATCCCAGCATGGTGACTCCTGCAGGTACTGGGATGTTTTGCGGATGGCAGGCGGCAGTGCCTGTGCTGGGGAGGTGCTGACACAGCTCGGGGACGTGTGTGTGCTGCAGCTCCTGGAAGCCCTGTTGCAGACCCTGCCTCACCTCCTGCTCCAGGCCTACGTTGTCGTGGCTGTTGACCCAGTGGGCTTCATCCCTGGTAAGCTGGGAGCTCCCAGGAGGATGCTTTGAACTGTAGAGGAATGATGCATTTGGGTGAGGGTTGCGTGTGCCCATCCGGCAGGGCACAGGGTGGGCTCTGGATGAAGGAGAACGCTGCAAAGGGACTGGGAAGCCTCAGTGAAAGGCACCAGGGACAAATGTGGCTGCAAGATCTGCTGTGGCTGAGCCCAGAGGAGTTCTGAGCCACCCATGGCTTCTCCTGGCCAGTACAGTCTGTATGAGCCATGTCCGTGCACAGTGTCTTGGGTGGGTGTGAACCCAGCATGTTCCTGTTGATGGTCAAGCCCTAATTACACTGCAGTGCTGAGCATTTAGGGGGTTGGGGCTGCTTTGCAGGAAAGGTGAACTTTCAGATGTGTAAAGGGAGAATTTGGGGTGTGCAAGGTCACACTCTGTGTCCATCTCTGGTCCCGTGGCACTGACCAGGATGGAGCTGCCCTGGGGCTGCAGAGATCTACCCGTGGGAGAGAGTGGTCAGAGGATTTCCACAGGCAGATGATGAGCACACAAAGGAGACAAGATTTAGCAGAAACTAATTGAAATACTCCAGTTCCATCCATGGAAACATTCAAGGCCAGGTTGGACGGGGCTCTGAGCAACCTGATCTAGTGGAAGGTGTCCCTGCTCATTGCAGGGGGGTCAGACTAGGTGGCCTTTAAGGTCCCTTCCAACCCAAACCGTTCTGCGATTCCATGATCCCATGGTTCATTTGGCAGGACCATGGGGTGTCTGGCTTGTATTGGGGTGCCGTGCTACCAGCAGCTCCTTGACACTGAGATAATGGCCCCACAGTGCAGCTGGGCATCCTTCAGAGCCCTGACTGCCCTGTCCCTGTGCAGGTGTCAGCGCAGGGCTGTCCCTGCTCTCCCTCGCCTGGGCTTTGGTGTCCTACAGCCACTTCATCCGCCTGCTGAAGCCTGGCCACCTCAGCCTGCCAGCCATGGCCGTGCTCTGCCTGCTCCTCTGGAGGACAGGGATGCTGGGGACCAGGGTCCTGGCCCTGGTGCTCTTTGCCAGGCTCTACTCCTTTTGGGTTTTCGCTGTGGCAGGTAAGACCTGAGATCCCTCTTCCCCACAGCCCACCCTGAGGTCAGCCCTGCGATGCTGCTGGTGCTGGGGCTGTTTGCAGCCTCCCCCAGAATGGCTTTGCCCGTACAGCCCCTTGTCCTTGCAGGTGCCCACTGGTTGCTCATGTCCTTCTGGCTGGTGGCCCAGCAGACAGATATTGTGGCCCAGCCATGCCGCTGGAGGTTGTTTAATGGCCTGGTGGGAGCCGTGTACATCTTCTGCTACATCAATGTCCGACCCGGTCCCTCCAAGGCCAGGGTGTCTGTATTTTATGCAGTAAGTACCCAAGGTATTTGTTACTCCACATGGATGCAGCTGCTGGGGAGAAACTTCAGACTCTCCATTCTCATTTCTCACATCACCACTTGATAAAAATCCAATGTGGATAAAAAGCCACGTGGTCACCAGGGTGGATGCACCTTCTCTTCTGGCTTCATTTTCTTAGAGGCAGACATACAATGTCAGACTTACCTTTTCTGGTAAAAAAAGGTGGACACCTTGCAGAAAGTTAAGGTCAACAACTTTTATGTTTTAAGTGGTACGTTAGGTACGAAATGAAACAGGGAAAGTGTTCAAGGCCAGGTTAGATGAGGCTCTGAGCAACTTGGTCTAGTGGAAGGTGTCCCTGCCGTGGCAGGGGGTTGGAACAACATGAGCTTTAAGGTCCTTTCCAACCCAAACCATTCTGTGACTCTATGAATCTATGAAAATTAGAAAGTGGGTGTCTTCTGTCATCAGAAGCACATCTAAAACCATCAGGATAAAGGTGACAACTCTCTTCCCTCTCCTCTGCAGATAATGCTGATGGAGAACACGCTCCTGCTGCTGTTGGCCACCCGGTTCCTGCAGGCAGAGCTGAGGAACAGCCTGGGTGTGACTGGGGCTGTCATGTCAGGGTCTGTAATAGGTAAGATCTGGGGATTTTAGAGCCTGGATTGCACATTTTGAGAGAAGTTTGAGTAAATAAGCATCATCAGTTCTTTTAGTTGCATCAGACTATTTGCTTTATTTCTTAGAGCTTTCAGTTTAAGCCATTCCCCTTCCTGTCACTCCAGGCCCTTGTCCCCAGTCCCTCTCCAGATCTCTTGGAGCCCCTTTAGGCACTGGAAGGGGCTCTCAGGTCTCCCTGGAGCCTTCTCTTCTCTAGGTGAACACCCTCAGCTCTCCCAGTCTGTCTCCAGAGCAGAGGGGCTCCAGCCCTCACAGCATCTCCATGCCAACCAGGCTCATGTTTTCCCAGTGGGTTGGAAGCAAAGGGAAGCTGTGATGCCTACGTGTGCTGGGCTTTGTGCATCTCCCCAGACTGGCTGCGTGCAGATCAGTTCTGATCAAGAAAAGGCATGTTTGGGCTGGAAAAGGAGCAATTCCTCTGCCCTTGGATAAGTTTAGGACAGGAGTAGGAAGGAACCTGATGTCTGTACCAGTAAAAGGCACCTGTGGTTCAGCAGCTTCTCTGCAAAGGGGTTTGATGATCTAGAGGTGGCAGTGAGGTCTGGCCTTTTCTCCAGAATGCTGCTGGACTCATCCCTTGACACCTTTTTGCTCTTTTCCAGGTGCTGCAGCTCTGGTGGTTTATTACAGCCTGCTCCATCCCAAGTCCACAGAGATCTGGCAGGGATTCCTGGAGACATCCTGCAGTGCTGCAGCAGGGGGTGATGATGAGGTCTCTGGAGAGAGCTCCCAAGCTGGGCAGAGCTCAGGAATTTCGGGAGATGATGAGTCCTTGTCAGGGGAAGGCACCACAGCAGATCCAAAAAATGGGAACGGCTCATCGCTCCTGCAATCCAAAGCCTGTTTGGAGGACAGCTGGACAAAACATCACCACTGGCTGCTGGTAAAGCTGGCCTTGAAGACGGGAGACCTGTCCGTGATCAACGCAGCCTTCGGAGATGGTGGCGTGGGAGAGGTTTATCCCGCAGGATGGATGACTGGGAAACCCACTGGAGTTGAGCCTGGGGCAAACTCTTCTCTCCCCATGAGGGATGTTGTTCCTCAGGAGGCTGAATCTGCTCTGGCAGTGGGGAGTGGAGGAGGCATCAAACCCAGCACTGCGGGAATGGCACAGGGGGATGGAGTAGGGCAGGAGCCTGTTTTTCCCCCATCCCTATCCCATCCCAACAGCTTCTCCCCGGATTCAGCCGAGGGCTCCTCTGTGTATTTCAGTGCCAGCGCAGGAGGCATCACCTCGCCCGGGACAGGGACAGGCACAGGCACGAGGATGTGCACAGCCCTGGTGCAAAAGGACAGCGAAGCCCAGGCTTCTCCAGGACGCCTGAGAGAAGGAGGAGGAGCAGTAGGAAGAGGAGGAGGAGGAGGAGAGGATTTATCCCTTGGGATGGCGAGCATCAGCCCAATCCTGGGCACTTGTGCCCACAAGCACCTGCAGAGAAGCTTTTCCCTTGGCAACACAGGCAGCTGTGGGGTGGCAGGTCCCCCCAAAGAGGGCTCAGAGGGGACAGAGGGTGCCCTCATGGGGTGGCATCACCTCTGGGACACCCACCCTTGTGGCATACAGGGGACTGTCACGAGGAGCAAGCTGAGGTCGCCGTGCTTCACCTCCACCCCCAAGGCTGACCCTAAATGCCCGCCGCGAGGACTGGGGGAGCTGGGAGAGGGGACAGACCCGTCTGGGTTGCCAGGGTGACCATTTAAAGGGCTGCACTGTCACCTTGGGGTGACTGTCTCATCAATAAGGCCTGGCAGGAGGTGGTGGAGTGAAGACTGTCCCAGTGATGCCCCTGACACTGGGCAGATGTGCTCCTCCATCACCAGGACGTCACCTTCCCTCATGCTGCATCTTCTACTTGCAGTTTTGGAGAACTTCAAAGGTCTGAAAAAGCCCTAAAACTCCAGGACTAGTTATTTATTGACCTTATTTATGTCACAGTCCTGCCAGGCAGCCAGAGTGTGCTGCCTTTGGTGTATTTGTGACAATGATTGAAGTGTGTCCTTTACCAAGTGCCTGTACAAGCTGATGGCCTGTCCCAGTGGGGAGATCTGGCTGCAATCCTGGCCAAAGTAGGTGTCTTCTCAGGACCATTAAGTGCCTAAACTAGAAAAATTATAAGTTTTATGTCCTTCCTTCTGGCCACAGTAAGCCCTCAAGTAAGGCTCAGCAGTGCCTGGTTTATCTTTTCCCCACCAGGTTCATCTTGAGACCTTTATCAACTCCATTTTTCAGGGTCACAGATCATCGTCATGCTGTAGACTACAACCTCAGGACTCTGAATTATAGCCAAAAGCCATGTGGTCAGCTGGATTCACCAGCAAGCTCAGGGGTGCCACCTGAGGCACATCTGGCCACGTCCTCCAGCTGTTGTCCTGCTGTGGCAGGACCCCAGTGGTGCCACAGGGCAGGAAAGGCGGCAGGAAGGACACAGGCATGTGATGAATTATTAAAAAAAGCTTCATGATGCATTCACTGCTCAGGGCTGACCCAGCCAGATGGTTCTCCTGGGCAGTGGAAACCCAGTTGGTGCTGGTTATGGAGTGAAGCCACATTCCATTGTGATGAAGGCTCCCTGTCCCCATCCAGATCCCAGCCCTCCATGCTGTGGCTGTGCTCTGCAGGGAGAAATCAGTTCTGGTGGCTTTTCCAGAGTCCTCCTCGCTGTGTGCATCACACAGAAGGCAGAAGTGCTGCTGAAGCATTACAGGAATTTTTATCTAGTTTGTTTTTCTACCTTTGATAATATATAATTATGCTTAAAAAACCCAAACCAGCCTTTGCTGTGTCTGTGTCTCATGCTGGGGGGGCACATAGGCAATGTGAAATCAGAGCAAATAATATGGATTAACTGTCCTTAAAGGCTTCCAGCCTGTGTGAGAGCCCTGTTACACCCAGGGTCCAAGTCCTGCATGCTGGGTACAGTCCCAGCACTGAGACACAGGTCTCCACCTACAGAAATGACCTGTATTTAATCACAGAATCACAGAATGGTTTGGGTTGGAAGGGACCCTAAAATCCACCTAGTTCCAACCCACTGCCATGGGCAGGGACACCTTCCACTAGACCAGGTTACTCCAAGCCCCATCCAACCTGGCCTTGAACACTTCCAGGGATGCGGCAGCCACAGCTTCTCTGGGCAGCCTGTGCCAGAGCCTCACCACCCTCACAGGGAACAATTTCTTCATAATATCCAATCTAAACCTACTCTTCAGTGAATTCTAAAGCTCTGTTCGAAGTAGGAGGAATCCAGCAGCAAATCACACCTCCAGATACCCCTCCCCACCCTTCCCATCTTTTGGGGGGGCAAAACTAAAGATGCCCAAATGACCTGGTGCACATGCAGATTTTTCCCAGTGGTGCCACAGGGCAGAAATCACACTGGGGAGATGTTTCTCTCAAAAGCTCGTTCCTTTGCCACCAGAGGGAGATGCTGCTCAAGGTCCAGACGCTGCGTGCACATCCAGTGCCTGTGATAGGAATTACAGAACCATCTAGGTTGGAGAAGTCCTCTTAAGATCGTTGAGTCCAACCGTTGTCCCAGCACACTCAAGGCAGCCACTTGTCTCCAAGTGCCACATCCACGTGGTTTTTAAATCCCCCTCAAGTATGGGGACTGGAGAGAAGAGGGATGTGCAGGACTGAGGCTTCTGTGGCATCACAGGTGGGAGCTGGTGGGAGTAAAATGGCAGATACAGTGCAAAATGAGTGCCTGGAGGAATGAGACCATGGCTGTGGGAGTCTCCTTCTACCTCCCCAGGCATCACTGGGCCATTGGGAAACTTTGGAAAGCCCTGCTAGGGTCTTGCCCAGAATTCAGGGCTGGGAAGTCATCCAGGTAACTGCAAATATCCCACGGTGACTTCAGATCCAAAGGTGTGAGAGCAAGGGGAGATGCCACTGACCACACTGGATGCAGGATGGGAAGCTGCTGGTTTGGTAGAACCAGCTCCAGCTGTCAGCACCACGGTGCTGAGTCCTGATTTTGGTGGTGTATCCCTGGAGCTGTGCACATGTGCCTGGGGGGGTGACAGGGTCACTCCCCCCTCTGGTCTGTCTTCACATCAACCCACGGGGTGTAGAGATCCCCCAAATGCCACGTCACTGCCCTGTGTGGAGCAACGTGGCCCTGGGCCAGTCCAAACACAGGATGAGAAACTGCAGCTGACAGAGGAGCAGAGGGGAACCAGCTGATGAAACCTCAAAGTCCCTCAAAAGCTTGAGGAGACCCAGCCAGACCCTCTGCTCCTTCTGCAGCATTTCCCATGAAGCTCTTTTTGCATGAGGCATGTTATGCTGAGCTAGACAGGGATCTGCTCAGCCTTTGGGGATGAACACCACCAACTTTTGGGATTCAGCCACTCAGACAAGGGCTGGAGGGGGGGGATATTTCCATCCCACTGCACTCAGACAGATTATCCAGTGCTTTTGCCTGCTCTGGAATAGAAAATTTCTGCTAATTTGCCTCCTATAACCTTTTTTTTACCTTTTTTTTTAACTCTTTTTTACCTTTTTTTTTTTTTTTTTTTAATGAAACCCTCTCCAGCACTTTAGAGAAGTGGAGGGTCATGCCCCAGCCCAGGAGAGCTAAGTGCCACTTGTGAGAGGAGGTCTCAAGGGCAGCACAGGAGCAGGGAGCAGGAACCAAGGGTGAATTTTGACAATGCAGGGAGTGACCTGCAGGTTCCCCAGGAGAACTGGCCGTGCCACTCACCAGTGATCTGGAAAAAGGCAGGAACAGAGGCTATGTCCCTCAGAAATTACACAATACCCAGGTGAGCCCGGGCTTGGGGACGTGGCTGCTGGCACCATCCCCTTGGCTTGTTTTTAACAGGTCACCCTTGTCCCTCTGTCAAGGTGAAATAAAACAAAGCAGGATGGAAAGGTACAGACATGGCACGAGGTTGGCAGCAGCCCTGCCCCAGCCCTGCTGGGATCTCACCTTCCCAGCAGCACTGTTTTCCACCTCCCTCTTCGCCTGGATTTCTGAGCACAGGTTTTGGGGTGGGGGAAAAAACATCCCCGCCAGCTCCAAGATGATGTAACCACACCACTGAACTAGCTCAGAAAGGATTTACCCAGAAAAAAAACCATCTTTTCACTTCCAACAACATTGAAACACAATACTTGGACATTACAGAAAACAGAATTCTTTGCCCTGGGGGTTGTTGTTATTTCGTTTTTTTCCAAGCTGAAACTTTGGATATTTTTTCCCCTCTTAATTAAATTTGGTTTGCTGCAAACCCCTTTTTGGTGCCTTTAGTGTTCCTGTAAAGGAACAGGGCCCAGGCTGCAGCTTTGAGCCCGTGGCTCCAAGGCTAAACAATACCACGGAGGGGGGCAGTGGAGGGTAAACCCAGCTAATCAGGACTTGCCTAATAGGACTGAGTGCCTAATGAGGAGCCAGGGACTGTACTTCCCGGGCTGGATTTGGCTGGAGGAAAATGCTTTGTGCTCTCAACACCAGGTTTGAGACAGCTCAATTCCCTCCAACACACTGCAGGAGCGTTTTCTCCGTCCTGTGAATCCATCCTCAATGGCCACGGGGCGGATCTCTATGAGGAATCCATGGGGACCCAGATGTTGGAGGAGCTGAACAAGATCCTGCAAGCAAAAGGATCCAGTGACTACTTTGCTTGAAGGGAGGTCCTTAAAATCAAAGCCCTGTTTGTGCCTTGATTTTCCTAAGCAAAGCCACTGAAAGGCCCTGCCTGCTCCCCTTAACATCCTTGGGGCTTCCTGGGGAGGTCTGGGAGGATTTTAGGGATTGGCTTCAATAATTAGGCACGAATATTCCACTGCTCTGCCAAGGAGACTGGGCTGGATTGTCTCCATCCATGCTGCTACATCCCAGCCTCAGAGAGGGTGTGGGTTTGGGAAGGGAGTGGGGTAGGGGAGGCATCCCATGCCTAAGGCCTCTCCTTCGTTAATAGGGAGAGAGATTTGGGGTTCAGTGCTGAGGCTGTGGGGTGCAAAGCAGGTGGGTAAATGGGGGGGGGGGGTGTGGAGACACAGGGGGGTGGGTGGCTGGGCGTGTAGAGAGAGGGGAGTGTGGCTGGGGGCCCAGATATGCACAGTAGGTGGGGGCAGCTGTGGGCGGGCATCCAGATATGCACAATAGGTGGGTTCAGGTGTGAGTGGGTGTCCAGATGTGCACAGTAGGTGGGTGCAGATAGGGCTGTGTGAGGATGGGAGGTGGGTGCTGAGGCCATTGGGTGCTTCCATCCCCTGCTGGGAGCCAGGGCATGCGTGGGGCAGCCGGGGGCTGGGGCTGGGACCCGTGCCGGTGCCGGGGCTGTGACAGTGCCAGCGTCGAGTCTGGGTCCCGGTCCGGGTCCAGGCTCTCGGTCTGGTGCCGGGTGTGCGTCCGAGTCTATGCCCGTGTTCGGGTCCGGGTCAGGGGCTGTGCCGAGCCGGGGCTGGGTCCGCGTCCGGATCCGGGATTGGGGCTGAGTTCAGGGCGGGGTCCGGGTCCAGGTCCAGGTCCGTTTCTGGCTCCGGGTCCGTGCCCAGGTCCGGGTCCGGGGCGGGGTCGGTGCCGGGTCCGGGTCCGTGCCTGGGTCTGAGCCGTGCCGGGGCGGTGTCTGTGCCGTGCTCGGTGCTGTGCCGGGTCCTGAACCCTGCTGCGGGTCCGGTGCCGGGTCCGGGTCTGTGCCCGATCCGTGCCGGGGCGGGGTCGGGGCCGTGCTAGGGCGGGGTCGGTTCCGTGCCCGGTGCTGTGCCGGCTCCGTGCCGTGCCGGGGCGGGGTCCGTGCCGTGCCCGGGGCCGTGCCCGGTGCTGTGCCGGCTCCGTGCCGTGCCGGGGCGGGGTCGGGGCCGGGGCCGTGCGGGGCCGGGCGGGCGCGGGGAGGGCTCAGCGGCGGCGCCTGCGCGGGGCCGTCGCGGAGCTCCGCGAAGTTCCGCGGGGCCCGGGGAAGTTTGGGCTCGGCTCGGCTCGGCCCCGGCCATGGCCTTCCGCCGGCGGGCCAAGAGCCACCCGCTCTTCAGCCAGGAGTTCCTCATCCACAACCACGCCGACATCGGCTTCTGCCTGGTGCTCAGCGTCCTCATCGCCCTCATGTTCGAGGTGAGAGCCCCCCCGCCCCTCCATCCGCATCCCCCTTCCCCGCCGGGGCCGGCCGTGCGTGTGTCCCCACCCTGTGGACCAGGTGGCCCCCCTCGTTCTGCACGGGGTGTCCCCCCCCCCGGGGCTGTCTCGGCTCAGGGGGGTCCGCACCCCGGCCAAGAGCCCCCGTCCCGCTTGGGGAGGGGGCTCTGCGGTGCGGGACCCCTCCGTCTGGGGGGGCACAGCGCCGCCCCATTCATTCCCCATCTCTCACCCACCATTGGAGAGGTGAGTGTCCCAGAGATTCCTTTGGGGACCCAGCCTGGTGCTGAGTTTCGGAGTGGCACATCCTTCTTCCCCCGCTGCAGCCCTGCTCGGGGTCCCTGGTTTGGGAAGGGGCAGCAGAGGGGATGTCACAAAATCCCTTCTCCAAACCCACCACTGCTGCTGGGATGTCCCAAGCACTGAGAGGGGGTGCATCAACCTCACACAGAGAGAAGCCAAGCCCTGGCTGATATTCCCAACTCTTGGAAATGGGAAGAATATTTTTTTTGCCCCTTTTTTCCCCCATTTTTTTTTCCTTTAACATTAGCCCTTTTCCAGGTATTTTCTCCGCAGCCAGCGCCGTGGGACGAGCACCAGGGGCTCCTGGGCCTCGGGCAGGACACCAGCGGCTCCCTGGCCTTTCCCCATCCTGGCCATCCCACCTTGGGCCATGAGAAAGGCATCCCCGCACCTCCATGGGATACCTTCACCCGGAGCCCTCCCTCCGGGAATGCCGCTGTCCCGCCAGCGCCATGCCCGGAATGCCGCTCTCCCCCTGCTCCGGCTCCTTCCCTCCTAGCTTGCTTTTTTCCCTTCCCTATTCTCGGGGAGGAGACGGGAACGCTGGAGGCCGTGTGGCTTCTCTTGGCTCCGGGCACCCACGGCCGAGGCTGCGAGCCCGTGGTCAGCGGCACAGCCGGGCCGGACCCCCCCTCTTCCCCCGCTGAACCCTCCCCTCCAGCGCAGTGCCACGTTTCAAAGCAAATCCGGATGGGAAAGGGGTGGCCGGGGGGCCTGGCGGAGGAGGAAAGGCTCCTTCTTGCAGCAAATCGCAGGAGGAGGAAATCCATTTCCTTAATTCCCTCCCGCTGGAGCCCCCCTTGCTTTTCTCTCTCCCCCCCCGCCCTCCCCTTTTTTTTTTTTTTTCTGCGAATGCTTTGAATGAGCGAGTGGCTTCCAGCACTCAAACCCCCCTCTCGATGTGCTTGTGCATATATATATATATTTATTTAAGGGTTTCAGAACTAGCCCAGGAGGGCCAGCTGCATTCCAAAGCCACATGCAAATGCTGCAAAGTTGGGCTGCAAGTTTCATAGTGGTACTTTAAAAAGAAAAAAGTCGGTGAGGTCTCGCCTCTATCTCAGGGTTTCTCCCTGCACGTGGTTTTTTCGGGACGCTTATGGATTGCATGTCAGAAACCCTGTCCTGGAGAGGTGGTAGCTGGGCTTGGGAGTGATTTCGGTTGACATGATGCTCTGAGGATGGTTTGAAATGTGATGACCCTCCTCCCCGCCCCCGTGGAGGTGCCAGCAGGGAGGGGTTTGTGGTGTTCCTGATTTTTTTTAGTGTCTTCTAATTAAATCTCCCTCGGATGCTGAAGGCAGCAGTTTGCTGCTCTCCCTGCAGACCTCAGGGAGACAGTGCTTGCCGTGCTAGGGTGGCTTCCAGTGCTCTCTGTGCACTGCCTGGCTGCATCCCTGCCTGGCATCATCACAGAATCATAGAACCATGGAATATGCTGAGTTGGAAGGGACCCATCAGGATCCACTGTGTTCAACTCCCGGCCCTGTGCAGCATACCCCAAGAATCATACCATGTGCCTGACCATGGGGGTTTGAGACAGCTCTTGGTCCTTGTGGGTATTTTATTTTATTTTAATTTTTATTAAAATAAATGCTTTCTTTTCCCCTGGAGGAGGAGGAATCAGGCTCTGCTCTTCCCCAGCCCTCCAAACCATCCATGCCCATTTGTGCCACCCCTCTGCGGTGAGTTTTGGTGGCAGCTTGGATATTTCTGCCTTTTCACACCTTTTCATTTTCCTCCTTTGCCATGGTGAAGAGGACACGTCACTGTCCCTTCTCCTCCTTTCATCCTTCCTTCCCACCCCACAGCCGGGCTTCCACCTTCCCGATGCTGGTGGCCACAGCCAGGCCCAGGGCTCGGCGGAAGCGGCCTAATCCTGCTCACAATAGGCTGTTTCCTGCAGGGGAGGTTTCTTTGGGAAGACACAAATAAGATTTTTAACCTTTTCCCAGGCATCCCCCGGGAGCTGAGCGCTTCCTTGCTCCAGCACCCTGCTCAGGGTGGTGCTGGAGGGCTGATGGGTGTCTCCCCTTCTCCAAGTGAGGTGCACTCTGAAGTGTCCTTTTAGGTGCCCAACCTTTCCCCCCCAAACAGATTCACCACCCTGGGAATTCCTCCATAGCAGGGAGTGGGTACATGATGGGATCTGGGGCACAGAGTTTGGCATGAGGCTGCTCACTGGTGTTACAGGTGTGTTGGGTTTGATTATTCCAGTGTTTTAGATGATCACAGCATTGCTCTGAAAGGGAAATCCCGGGCTTGGAGGGGGTTTCCCTGGAAAGAGCTGTCCAGAGTTTGGCACTCTGCAGTGTTTTTCGTTCCCAGCCTGCCTTAAGCCTTCAGGGTGTGAAACACACCTGGTGCGTGTCTGTGTGGTGCCAGGGAGGGATTTTGCCACGTGTGTGTGTGGGTGCTGGAGCACAGAAAGAAAAACCTCCTCTTTTTTTTTTTTTTTCGGTGAAAAACTATTTCAAGTGATAGAAACGCGAAACAGGTGCTTCCCCATACTCCTGCAGAAATCACTTTGCATGTATTTTTCCACCCTGCTTTGCAGAAAAATGAAGCCAAGGCCAGGCTGGGTTTAATCTGCAGCTGGCTGGTGACCTGTGCCCTGTCTGGGGTGGATCAATCAGTGGGTTGAGTCTGGGGGAGACCTCACTGATTTGGGGGAAGTTTCCGTGTTAGATGGGGGCTGCTGCCGTAATCTCTAAAATGGGGAAACTAAGGCTCAGGTTTATGCATGGAGTGATGATAATAAAGTGATAACAGATTTAAAACCCATTGTTTTATAAGAGACGCCGTGGCCTTGCTGGGCTTTCCCCCGTGAGCAGAGTGTGAGTCACGGGCTCCCAAACTCCAGGTTGTGACACTGTCAAACGAAGGCGGCTGACGAATGAGCTGCTATTTCCAGGCTTCCTGCTAAATATACTTTCCCCTTCCCGGTCCCCTCCGTAGTACTCTAAAAAATTAAGGCCTTCCCGTTGTCAATGCGGGAAAACAAAACATGTTTCTGCCTCCCCTGGTCGTTGCCAGATGTGGGAGCTGAGGCCACGTGGGCGGCATTAAGGGCTGGAGAGTTGGGGAGGAGCGGGAAAAGGGGGAAAAAAAGAGCAGAATTTAGGTTTAGTTTTAAAAAGGGAATAAACAGGAGGGAGTGTGAGGCAGTGAAAATCGTGCTGTGCTGGGGGATGAGCGTGCCTGTGGGAGCAGAGGGGCTGTGCCGCCCTCAGAAAGGGTTTTTTGTCAAAGCCAGATGTTTACTTTTAAAGGCTTTGGTCCAAAGTTTGGGCTTTAGTTTACATATAGGGCCTGTGTCAATCCATACCGTGGGTCAGCAAGTTTGTCTTTTAATAAACACTCTGGCTGGCTGGGGGAAAAATACCCCCACATTGTGAGAGGAGACTTCGGATAGCGTTTTATCTGTAATTAGTCTGAGCTGTTTTTCAAGCCCTGGAAATATTTTCCCAGCTCTGACTGCAGAAACTCCCCCAGCCTCCCCTGCCAGAGGTTTGGAGTTGCTTCCTTCCTGCAAAGTGGTTTTAACTCAAGCAGGACCATGGGGCAGGCAGAGTGCCTGGGGGCTCGTGGCTGGGGTAGAGACAGCGACTGCAAATCCCACTGGGATGAGGCTTTTGAGAAGGGAAACGGGTTTTATAGAATCCCAGAATGATTTAGGTTGGAAGAGACCGTAAAGATCATCCTGTTCCACCCCCTTCCATGGGCAGGAACACCTTCCACTCTCTCAGGTTGCTCCAAGCCCTGTCCAACCCAATCTTGAACACTCCATCTTGAACACTCCACCCAGGGATGGAGTGTGCACAACTTCTCTGGGCAAGCTGTTCCCAGAGTTCATGGAGTGCCTGGTACCCCTCTGTGAAGGATGCTCAAAAATTATCCCTCGTTCCTGAACATACTGGTGTTTAGTTGCAGCAGGTAGATTTTGGGAGAGGTGCTGAACTGCCTGGATGTATGTGCTTAAATCCCTTTATTAAAAGCCACTTGCTTATCTGCACAAGTGTAATTGGGATTTGGGTTTGGACTCTTGGAGCATTTTGTGGCAGGGAAAAAAACGGCATTTTTACAATTGCTGGATGGGGGCTTGGAGCAACCTGGTCTAGTGGAAGGTGTCCCTGCCAATGGTAGAGGGTTGGAACAAGATGATCTTTGAAGTCCCTTCCAAACCAAGCATAGTAAATAAAGATGCATAGTGTGGTAGTGCTGGGATTGTTTGGCTTTATCCATTGCTCTGCCATCAAGGGCTGTGAGGTGGATGTGCTGATTTGACTTTTAGCCATGAGAAACAGCCTCATCCCAAGAAACTCTGGCCTTGGTGGACACTGGTTCCCAAATTTACCTGGTTCAGACACATAGAGTCATAGAACTATTAAGGTAGAAAAGGACCTCTGAGATCATCTTGTCCAACCCAGCTCTGGTTGAACTCAGTGATCTTAGAGGGCTTTTCCAACCTAAATTATTCTATGATTCTATGAATTCCACCCCTGCCAGCAGCAGTTTAGTGGCAGCTCTGGCCCTTCTCCCTGCCCTGCAGGGCAGGAGCGTGCCTGGCACTTCCTTTCCCATACCAGCATCTTGTTTCAGAACAAACAGGCAGCGAACGTCTTGTGCCTCTGAATAATCCTCACGTTGCTCTTCCCGTTCCAAACTTCTGCTTTCTCTGGCTGCCTGTGAAGTGCTCAATGCAATCTCTTAAAGCTTTGCCATCCCTGGTGCTTGTTGCTCCTTCCTAAGCCAAGGAAACCTGGTTTCTGCCTTGCAGGGGAGCTGGAGGTGGGGTTCAGGCATTCTCTGTTTTCCAGGAGGCTTAAGCTGTTCCGTAGTGTGTCTGGCACTATACGCTGCTCAGGGCTGTGTGGGTACACCATGGGTGCTCCAAGTTGATATTGTGGGTGGAATACTGAGGGGGTTATGTGGGATTTTGGAGCTTGATGTTCACTTGCTGGAGCTCAGCCGTGACCTCCGTCACGTCCCCCGTCCGTCTGTGCCCGGTGGCAAGGGGCATGTGGTGAGAAGCATCAAGAAGATGCAGGTCCCCTCGTGGATGTGCAAGGTGTCCTTCACCTTCCAGATGGAGAAATGTACCAGTGTCCTGCTCATGTATTTCATGCTCCATCTGCTGCTAGAAGCAATGACTGTACTTAACTGAACCAAGACATCCTTGCAGTGGTGACTGGAAGGGGAGGCTCCCTGGCCAGGTGTGTGTTCCGTGGTCAGTGTGACTTCCCAACTGGTTGCAGGATAAAGAAATGCCTTTTGTGCCTTAGAGGAGACCTTCCCTCCGTGTAAACTCTGTATGATTGGAAGGTTGGATCCCTGGAGTTCATATTTGGCCGCTGTAGCACTTAGTGAATGGCTGCAGGAGTGACTGCAGGTTTGCCTGGGCTCCCCAGGAGCAGACAGGCAGTTTGTCCTTGGAAATTGGTCTGTCAGGAGCCTGCCTGTGTCCATTAAGTTACATTTATCTTTGGCAGTAAAATATTTTACTTAGACTTTAGAAAACAACCCACTACCCCCCTGTAATGAAAGGTGAGGGGGTGCAAAGGTGATGTCTGAAGCTGCTGGTGGTCTTCCAGCCTATAGGAAGCAAAGGCGGGTGTGCAGATGGGACACAGCATTGCCTGATGATGGAGTGGATGGATGAAACCTTCCTACCAGGTCAGAAAAGAAGATTAGGAGAGTCCTTGCAAACTGTGTTGGGGCTGAGCACCGTGCTGGCTTTGCTTCCCACCCCGGAGATACTCCAGAGTCATTTGCTTGGACTTCCAAGTCTGGCCTATGGCCCCTCCAGCAGGCTTCATCTGGAGATGATGTCTTCTTTCCAGCTGTTTATAGCTCTGGATGTCAGCCAGGTACTTGGGTGGCTGTAAATCCTTCAGTGCCTGCTGCCGTCAGCACTTCCATGACACGTCCACCCATCCGCACAGCATCGCGGCCACCGCCGGCTCCGTGTGTTTGTATCATGCCCTGAGCCAGCTTGTGACGAGGTTTGGATGTGAAGTCCAGGTCCTGGATGTGCTGTACCGCTCTGGGATGAAGCAACTTGGCTTTCCTGGCCAGCAAGGTCTGTAAGAGCCAGCAGTGTCTCCTTAAGCCAGCTCGAGGCCGGGCGATGCGCTTTTTCCATCCCCAGCCCAAACTCTGCCCGTGGTCTCCATCTCCCACAGCAGAGCCTTTTTTTGCATCTACTCCTCCACAGACAGAGCACAACATGTGGGGATTTCCTTTTTTTGTAAGTGGGAAAAAAAAAAATTAAATCCCCAAACATCCCGAAAAGACGCTGTGGAGTTTTCTGTCCCTCGCCTGTGCCAGCGGAGCGGAGCCACCGGCTGGTTGCTCAATGCTCGTGGGGGCAGAATGGGAACGCTTGGCAAAGCCCCTGTGTCCCCCCCCACGAGCTGTGGAGCAGTTTCCAGCTGGGTTTTTATAGCCTGCAGCTCTGGAACAGTGGTAGCTACGTCTGTGTGAAATGCAGCTCATCTCCATCGGTGTTGGATGGGCATGGGATTTTTTGGGGCTGGTTGTGTGTGAAGGCGGGTGCTTGCGAAGCGTTGAGGGTTGGCTGGGAGCCCTTGGAAGGGTAAAAATTTGGTGACCTGCTGCCAGTGTGTGGGGTTGGATGGGATGAAGACACATTTGGTGTCAGATGTCTGTGCACAGGGGTTTGCTGTGGCCCTGGCACGAGGGTGTGTTGGTCTCAGAGGTGCAGCTTTGGGGCATCCTGTGGAAGCACTGGGGTGGAATGCTGTGCCCCCTTCCCACAAACCCTCCTGCTTTGTTTCTGGGAGGGATCATTCCCTCGAATTAAAAGCAGCTTAGACAGGACCAGAGAGAACAGCATAAAGCCGTTTCTGGGGAGGTTTAGGCTGGATAGCAGGGAAAGGTTCTTCCCCCAGAGGGTGGTTGGGCACTGAGCAGGCTCCCCAGGGCAGTGGTCGCAGCCCCAAGGCTGGCAGAGCTCAAGGAGCATTTGGACAACACTCTCAGGGACAGGGTGGGATTCTGGGGTGTCCTGTGCAAGGCCAGGAGTTGGACCTCAGTGATCCTTGTGGGTCCCTTCCAACTCAGGTTATTCCATGATTCTATTCTATGATTCAATAAATGAGGAGTGAGCAGCACAGCCCTGGTTTGCAAGGGCCCTGATGTGTCATCCCTGGCTTTTTAATTCCATTTTTGTACATGCATCTGGAATCTCGTGGGAAACTAGTGTGAGGTTCAGCTTGTCTGTCAAAGCTGCTTTTCCCCTGCCCTGTTGGACCTTCATGGGTGCCTGCGTGGACTCTGAAGAGGTCCAGCCTCACCAAGTGGAGGAGTCTCCACAGATATGTGGAGCTAAATCCATGTGAAGCCAGCCCATGGGGCTTTGAGGCCTCTGAGCTTGCTTGTGTGTGGGTGCTGCCATCCCTACCCAGGCTGGATTCCCAGTGTGGCTGCCCAAGTGGATGGCAATGAGGGATAGTTTTAATTAATGCAAATAGCCACTTGGGTCAGTTCCCAGTGTCCCTTGAGCAGCAGGTCACAGGTAAGGATGGTCCATGCTCCTGGAGGGATGCTCATCCTGTCAGGTTGGCTCATGGATTTTCCATCTGTGTGCTTTTCCAGGTTTCTCCCTCCTTTATACCTTTCTTTCTCCTTCCCAAATCCCAGATCTCTGTTGGCAAACCACTTCACTGGTAATCTCCTTGCTGAAAGGTGTTTCTGTGAGTGAAGCAGGTGCCTGCACATCTCCCTGGACAATTTACCTTTCCCTTTGTGGTAGGAAAAGAGAGTAAATGATGGCAGAGGAATGGAATCAACAACTGATTTGCTTTTTTCCCCCCTCTGTGTGTCTTTGACAGGTCACAGCCAAGACTGCCTTCCTGTTCATATTACCTCAGTACAACGTTAGTGTGCCTACAGCAGGTAAGAGGTGCCTCTTCTCCAGACAGCCCAAGGCCCAAGCCCAAATCCTCTTTGCCAGCTGGCCCAGGCTCACCCCATACTGATCACACTGCCCAGGCTCTTGTCTGGTGGTAAAGGAGATGTTAAAAATAAGATATTTTGGGAAGAAGCAAAGTTTGAGCAGCTCAGAGCGCTCTGATCATGTCTGCCAGCCTTCATGTTGCCAGGGTTGGGAAGAAATGCTTTCCAGGGGGGGTTGGGGCTTCCTCTGTGTTTCTGCCATGGCCAGGCTGTTCTGTGCTCCCTGCAGGGTGAGGATTCTGCTCCAAGCCTGGTCAGGCAGGATCAAACTGCCTGATTGCATGCCTGGAGTAGCTCCATGTCCTGCTGAGGAGCGGGAGGGATTTACCTCTTTGCTAAGCAGCAAGGGCTACCCAATAGTTCCTGCCTTGCTGATTTTTGGAGGGGTGGAACAAGGTGAACGCATGGAGATGCACGTGGTGCACGGCACAAGGCAGGTTATGGGCCTGGTTCACGTGGAGTAATTTGAGGAGGCTCTGAGGTGGTGCAGTTCTGAACCAAACAGGCCAGAGAACGTGCCCCAGCTGCCAGCCAGGAGGCAGCTGGAGGCTCAGCCCCTGTTCATATTTTGGCTGCTGGCTGCTACTTTCCTGGCCCAGAGCCCCTCTGGATCTGGCAGCGACCTGGGCACTGGCGTGGAGACAGCAGGAGGTGGTTTGGGTAAAGCCTGAGCTCAGGATGAGCCAAACGCCCGGGGCACAGAGCCTGGCTTGGTGGCAGAAATCTGCAGTTAATTGGAAGTGTTTGAGTAATCATCCAAAGAAAGAGCAGGGTGTTGGGATTAGTGGGACTACAGCAAGGCAGACATGCGGAAGATAAAAGCCCTGCCCTTAAAATCTTTGAACGTTAAGGCTGAAGAAGTCATCCAGCTCCCAGATTAAGTTGGTCCGTGCTCCCCTATGGCACAGTCCAGACAACTTCCTGCTGGTTTTTAAGAGATTCATTCTTTCCTGATGCCAGAAAACTCAGGGAGAGCACAGAAACACCTCACCAGAGCCAGGTAATGGGGTATCAGTATAGAGTATGAGGTGGCTGAGGCCTTGGGGAGAGAGACCTTGCTGCAGCAGCTTGTTTGGAGGAAGGGCTATTGCTCATCTGAATTTTTCCAAGGCTGTTTCACATCCCTCACAGCTCCTGCTAGAGCAGCTTCTGAGAGAGGAGAGACGAGGCAGAGCAGTTGCACATGTGCATGATATTTTCTTGGGACTTACAGTTCAGTCTTTTACCTTGCTCTAGTATACAAACACCATTTTTAGCTCTGAGCTTGCACAGCACCCAGCCCAGGCTTCTAAGGACGGGGTGTTTTCGTATCCTTTGCCAGATGTTTTCATAAATCCTGTTCAAATCTTAAAAATCTGGACTGAAGGTAAACAGGTCTGGCGACAAGATGCTTTCTGCAGTGTGCCACAAGGACAGCAGCTTTCCTAAATCTGTTTCTTCCCCATAAGCTGCAAATAGTCACCTAAATGCAGCTGTCTGGGGTATTTTGGGTGCTGTTGGGTCTCCTGTTGCTCCAGAAGAGCATGGCCTCCCGTGGGTCCTATTTCTCATCCTCCAGCCCCGTGCTGCTGCCTCAGAACTCTTAATAGCACAAGGCATCTGCTTTCCAGCAGCTGAATCCAGCTCCAGCAGCTTTCAGGGATGAGTGGGAGAGACTGGGTGCTGGATCATAACCGAGGGGGTGGAAATGCCACCCTGAGTCCTGGTGTTCCCAGTGGGGGCATCCCTGATCCCATCACCTGCTTCAGCCTTCCATATCTTCATCCCTGCAGGCTGATAAATTCCTGCCTCCATACCCAGGCTGTCCCCAGCCCCTCATCTCTGTCAGGGCACGTTTGAAGTGTCCTGAGTGTCCCCTCGCTTGAGATGTGTAACTGTTGGAGGAGAAACCACCCACCTCTGCCATGAACTAACCCTGGATGGAGCCCTTTTTTTCCAGCCACTGGCACAGTAATGACCTCTCTCCGGTGTCCCCACATTGGGAATAACTCCCCTGCCCCACTAACCCCTTAACCCTCACCTGCAAATCATTTGGGTCACGGGGATTTGACCTACTGTTTGGTGTTTTGCAGATGGGGAGCTGGTCCAGTATCACTATGGGCTGAAGGATCTGGTCACCATCCTCTTCTACATCTTCATCGCCATCATCCTGCACGCGGTGGTGCAGGAATACGCCCTGGACGTGAGTGCCATTCCATGTCTCGAGCCACCAAAATACCTCAAATCCCACGGCCCTGCTGCAGTTGAATGCTGTTCTGGGGGTTAAGGTGGTGATTATGAGTGGGCCTTCACCTCTGGAGGTTGCTTGGGATGAGGAGGAGGAGGAGGAGGAGGAGGAGAGAGGGTTGATGACCCGGTGGCTCATGTTTCCTTGTTTTTTTTCTTCTCTTCCTCTGCTCCTTCCCAGAAAATCAACAGGCGTCTGCATCTCTCCAAGGTCAAACACAGCAAGTTCAATGAGTCAGGGCAGCTGGTTGCCTTCCACCTCACCTCTGTGATCTGGTGCTTGTACGTCGTGGTGACGGTAAGGCAGGGGGCTGACTGGGGTTTGGGTTCCCAAGGGGGCATTTGGGGTTTCTGGAGCACAAAATCCCACTGGCAGCAGAGTCACCAGCCAAAACAGACACATTTCAGCAAGTTTGGTTTTCAGGTGTGGTGGATCTCTCCAGCCACTGAGCGAGGGCAGTTTTGGGAGATCCTTCTCCTTCACTGTGCAAGACATGAGCTAATGGGATGTGAGATCTTTTTGGAGCTGGTCCTCAGAAATCCTGCCTGGTCTCATCATCTCCATCTGCTGCTCCGGATCATCTTTCTCAGATTCTTATTTTCCTCTTTGTTTACATTCAGTGTTTTGGATGCCTTTTGCAGGGTCTTGGAGCTAATGGGCAGATTTTTGGGACCCCTCTTTGTGGTCCCTTTCTTGGCAAACTGGCAGTGAGGGCATCACGGAGAACAGGAAAGCCACGCTGTTCCTTGGGTGCATTAGGAATGTGTCAACCTAGAACTACTGGGAGAAGAAATCAGAGGGAAAACATTGTCTTTTTGGGGAGGAAGGAGGAGGGAAGAATGGTTGCTGTGGGAGAGATCTGGCTATTTTGGCAGTGTGAAGTGATGATGCTTTGCTGCCTGCAGCTGTTGGGGTCCAGCTGGGGATGGATCCTCGGGGACAGGTCCCTTCCCCACTGCTTGGGGGGTCCTGCCAGCTCCCTTTAGAGTACCCCTTTCAAGGCCAGCATTTCAGAGGTCTGCTGGTACTGCCTCTGCCCTGTTGGGCTCTTGAGGAGGGAAACACTTGGTAACACAACTGTTGCTGCTGGATTTGGACTCCCCTTGCACTGTGCCAGTCCCATCCCTCACCAGCGGCAGGGCTGGAGCCTCCTCGCTGCCGTTATGTGCTCCCCAAACACCCCATGTGCTCAAAGCAGGTCGCCCTTCACAGCACTTGCTCTTCCCCTGGCCTCCCCCAGCTGAAAAAAGGGCTTAGGGCAGACAGGGTGTGAGTGATGGTGACTTGACAGGACAAATTTCCCATGCCAACACCTTCTTCCAAAGCCCAGAGCAGCATCCCCACGGGCAGGAGCAAGAGGAGAGCCACATCCTGTAATCTGCTCTGCAAGTATAAGTTAAGAGGTGGGAAATTAAACTCTGCAGTGCTTAAGAGATTGGTTCTGCTGGTGTTTTCTGTTCCACTTTCTCATCAGTAGTACTTCTGCTTGCTTAAGTGATACTTGGTTGGACAGGCCAGTGAGGGAGAAGCCCCACAGACCGTGCACACAGTTACAGGCATCTCACCCCTACGCCCCCAGAGCATCCCAAACCCCAGAACATCCTGTCCTGAACCTGGGAACACCTGTGCAACTGAGCAAGGAGCCTTCAGCCCCCAAACACAGGGCCTGGAGAGATTTTATAGGGGTGCTAGAGACCCGCAAATGTGGCTGAGCTTTGGCGAGCTCAGCCCTGGCTCTCTCAGGGGACACGTTTGTTTCTGCAGGCTGGGTGTCGTCCCCAGGTCCTTGTTTCACTGTAACATCAGCCCACCTCTTCATAACCTGTTTCTTTTGCTGAAGCCTTGTCTCTCTTCTCTTTTTCAGGAAGGATACATATCAAACCCTCGGACTCTGTGGGAAAACTACCCGCATGTTTATCTTCCGTAAGCACTTGCGAGGGCATTTCGTTCCGAGGCTGACCACTTACTTCCCCTCTAGGGTTTTCCCTGTGGCTAGGAGAAGGGTGCTGACAGCACAGCACCCTTTGCATGCACACAGCTGCAAGGATGCTGCTGTGAGGTCACGAGGAATGGTGGATTTGTGAGCCTGGGGAGGGTGTTCCGGAGGGTTTCCCCTGTGAGGACGTTCCTGTGGGCCTGGTTACTCATCCTGGCTGTTTCTTGCATTACCTTGGGAAAGTCTCTTTGCTGTTCTTTTTCACAATAGGAATGAAGTGGGGGATAACCCTCCCTTTTTGGGTTTTTGCAAATTTGAGTATTGCTGAGGGCATGGAGACCACAGCACGAGCATCTGGATAAACTTAAGGTGTGGCTGTCTCAGCTCAACAAATAGTTTCAGCCCAGAAATGATGCCTTCTAAATCCTGTGGCTTCAAAGCAGTGGAGGGATTGCCCAGTGCTGCCCTGCCACCCAGGTCCTTGGGGTACTGCCATGCCCTGGGCTGGCTCTCATGGATCATCCCTGCATTTCAGGTTCCAGGTGAAGTTTTTCTACCTGTGCCAGCTGGCGTACTGGCTGCATGCCCTGCCGGAGCTCTACTTCCAAAAAGTTCGCAAGGTGAGAGCCAGGTGGGCAACCTGGGGGGTCCCACCCGCTGGATTTTGGGAGAGGGAGCTTTGGGAGAGGGCAGGTGAAGAGGGTTGAGAGGTTGACGTGGCTCTCTGCCCTGCCAGGAGGAGATCCCCCGCCAGCTGCGCTGCATCGCGCTCTACCTGGTGCACATCACCGGCGCCTACCTGCTCAAGTGAGTCACCTCCCTCAGCACCACATCCCTCAGCAGGGATGGATCTGAGCAGCTCCTTTTGCAGTGGGAGTCTCCTGGGAATCCTCAGTGGGGTGGGAGGCTTAAAGGGAATAAAGGGGATTGTTTCAGTGGACTGCTACTTTTTATGCAGGAAGGTGGTGATAGGATAAGGGGGAATGTATTTAAACTAAAAGAGGGGAGATTTAGGTTAGATATTAGGAAGAAATTTTTGTCTCTGAGAGTGGTGAGGCCCTGGCACAGCTGTGGCTGCCCCATCCCTGGAAGTGTTCAAGGCCGTGTTGGACGGGGCTTGGAGCAACCTGGTCTAGTGGAAGGTGTCGCTGCCCGTGGCAGGGGTTTGGGACTGGATGATCTTTAAGGTGCCTTCCAACCCAAACCATTCTATGATAAAAAACAGAGCAGCCTTGCCAGCAGTTAGGGCTTTGTGTTGGATTCCTACTGGCTTGGGCTGTGTTGATGGTTTGGGGACAGGGATTTCCCCCACTGCAGTTTTACCCCCACTGCTGCAGAAATGCCTGGCTTTAGGCTGGTGCTGCAGCTCAGGGATGGCAGAGGAGAAACTGTAGCTGGATTGAAGGATGAGGGTTGACCAATGATGCTTTTTTCTTTCCCTTCCCTCCTAGTTTAACCCGCTTGGGGCTGATCCTCTTGCTGTTGCAGTACTTGGCTGAGTTATTCTTCCACATGGCCCGGCTGGTCTACTTCACGGATGAGAACAACGAGAAGCTGTAAGCAGGGGAGCTTTCCAGGGCTTCCACATCCTCCAGAGCCTGGGAGAACCATGTGGCTTGATCTCAGTGCTGGGAGCTGCTCCTGCCCACACCTCTGCTTGTCCTTCCCACAGGTTTAATGTCTGGGCTGTCGTGTTCGTGGTCACCAGGCTCTTCACCCTCACCTTGTACATCCTGGTCATCGGCTTCGGGCTGCCACGGGTGGAGAGCCAGGCCCTGGACCCTGAGAGAGGGAATTTGTTCAGCTTCCTCTTCAACAATATCCTTTTCAGGTAGGAATGTCTGCTGTGTCTTCCTTGGCTGTGTTATCTCAAGGTGGGTTTTGCTGAGTTTGGAAGTCACAGAATCACAGAATGGTTTGGGTTGGAGAGGACCTCAAAGCTCATCTCTTTCCAACCCTCTGCTATGGGCAGGGACACCTTCCACTTGACCAGGCTGCTCAGAGCTCCATCCAAATGCCGGTGGCGATCCTGAATCTTGGTTCCATTTAGGGAAGGTCCTAGTGAGCTGAAGGGATGTGAAGGAAGCAAGGAGGGTTTTAAAGGCTGCAGAGCCACAACAGAGGGGAAAACCCAGCAAATAAGTTGTTCACTGAGTGAAGTTATAAAACATGAGTCTGTCTTAGAGAAAGGCTTATAGGCTTTCCCTGCTGCACCTTTAAGTGCATTAATACAGATATGGTTAAGGAAAAGGCATTTCCCCTTCTGCTTGGACGTGTTTTGCCCTCTGTTGATGTGGGAAGCAGAATATGGGATGGGGTCCTCATGCCTTGCAGTCTGTCTGTCAAGACTGGGAGCCTTTCTCAGCCACGCAGCATCTGTGCGTTCAGTTCAGAATTTGCTAGGCCTGGTCATTCCCAAGCTTTTTGAAGCCATGGACTGCTGGCACACATGAGGATTTGGGGGACTTTCTTAGCTCCCTTCTACCCACATCCATCTTTTAGATGCACGGAGAAGTTGGGAACGTCATACCTTGAGCGTGCAGAGCGTGGTTTGGGCAGTGCTAGTTGAGATGATCCCACTGATCCATTCTCGCCCTGAAGTTTTAACAACCAGCAGTGCCCTGAGAGCTTTATGGTGTGGAGGGAAAGGGAAGTGGCTGCTCTTTGCTCAGGGGATGGCAGGGAGGAGAGATGGTGGTGGTTGTAGGGATGGCACCTGCCACCCGGGGGGGAGACACTGGCCCTGGTGCAGGTGGAAGGCTGGGTCGGGGGTGGCCTCGCTGCTCTGTTCTCAGCCTGCCTCTTCTCCGCCCCTGCCAGAATGAGTGTGCTGCTGTTGGTGTGCCTCTTCCAGGCCTCGGTGATGTGGCGCTTCATCCACTTCCAGCTGCGGCGCTGGAGGGAGTACTGGAACGAGCAGAGCAGTCGGAAGCGAGTCGCCGCCGCCACCACCGGCACCAAGCAGCAAACCAAGCTGCTCAAGAGGGATTCGGGTGAGCGCTGGGATGGGTGGCACTGTGGGAGGTGTCAGTCCTGTGGTTTGGCACCCCCTCAGGGGCTCCCCAGCAGCCTCCTGGAGTAGCAGGGGCTTTCCCCCTGTCTTAACCCTGAGAGGGTTAAGGGTTTGCCTTGTGCGAGGGACAGAGTTTTCTCTTTCCGTAGAATCACAGAATTAATTAGGTTGGAAAAGACCTCTGAGGTCATCGAGTCCAACCCATGGATGAACACCATGTCAGTTAGACCATGGCACTAAGTGCCACGTCCAGGTGTTTCTTGAACACCTCTGGGGATGAGGACTCCTCTACCTCCCTGGCAAGCCCATTCCAATGCTTAACCACCCTTCCTGTGAAGAAATGTCCAACCTGAACCTCCCTTGGCACAGCTTGAGTCTGTGTCTTCTTGTCCTGTCACTTGTTCCCTGGGAGTAAGCCTGAACCCCACCTGGCTCCACCCTCCTGTCAGGGAGTTGTAGAAGGGAATAAGGTCACCCCCAAGTCTCCTTTTCTCCAGGTTAAACAACCCCAGCTCCCTCCTCATAGGACTTACCCTCTAGACCATTCACCACCTTCATTACCCTTCAGGTTACCATGAAAATGGGGTAGTGAAAGCAGAGAATGGCACCTCACCTCGAACCAAGAAGCTGAAGTCGCCGTAGAAGCCAAGGGTTGTCTCCTGGGGAGGAGGGCGAGATACCAGGACTAAGCAGCCCCTCCTCCTGGTCCTCACGGGTGGCGTCTTGAGTGGCTCGGAAACCAGTCATCTTCCCAAGGTGTCTCTCGCTCTCCTCCCTTCCTCTCTTGCTCTCTTGAACCATTTGCAATAAAACCAAAAAGGTCCCCTTCCCCTACTCCTTTCCCCTCGTAGGAACCTTTTCCTGCCCTCCTGGTTTTGCTTTCCTCCATTTGATCGTAAATCAGCGTGCAATTTTGTTGTTTTGTTGTTTTTTTTTTTTCTTTTCTATTTTAGTGTTTTGTTATTTTGGTTAATGGTTACAAATGTGTCGTAGACGGTTCCAGACAATCCTTTTTTCTCCTACAGCATGTTCCTCCCCTCTCTCTTCATGGTGCTTCCCTGAGTCCCTGGGACAGGGCCACGACAGCTTGAAGGCACCAAATGTGTGTTATGGGAACAGGTTCCTGGGGGAGTGTGCTGGGGCTGTGAGATCCTGAGGCCCAGGGGTGCTCTCAGGTGAGATGGGGTCAGTGCTCGGCAGGGTGGTGATGCTGCAAAGAGAGACCAGGGTCTGAGGGAGGAACCTCAGCCCTGTCTTGTCTCATGGTGGACCCCTGGTTACCTGGGGCTTTTCTGAGCTAATTTTTGAGCTAATTTTGGAGAGCTGGGCAGCAGAGAGAAGAGAGAACTTCCTTCTTCATTTGGAAGGCCCACCTTCCAGCCTCTGCTCACCCCAGCTCTTCTGGTACAGTTGGGTCTCTCGTGGCTGCCCTGTGGTTGTTCTGGACCTCCCAGCCCCAAGAGCTGAGCAGCTCTGCAGCTCACAGTGTCTTGTTGTGGGGCAGCAGCATCCTCAGGTCCAGATGAAACCCTGAGTCCTGCCCCACTCTGAGCCCAGGCCCTTTGCCAGCTTGTCTGTGCCTTGTGGACCTGGTGTTCTTGTGGGCTCGTGACCATGTCCAGATGACAAACTGGCTGCTGCAAAGGGTTTTTGCATCAATGAGACTGTGCCCCTCGTGCTGTCACCTCAGCCTTCCTCATCCCTACCGTACCAATCCAGCCATGCCATCGGTAGCCACCAGCTTGACTCTTTGTTTCCAAAGGATACAGTGCTTGTATCCACTCAAGGTGCTATCAAATCCAGGGTTTCTTCCAAAAAAAACCTAGCCCCTTCATCCCTTTCTGAGCTGTGAACGAGATGACAGGGAGGGAAGGGGAAGGAAGCCAGGGCTGCAAGGAGCAGCTTGCGTTTTAGGAAAAGCCTGACTTGTGACATGTAGCTGTTGGCAGATGGAGTTGTCTCAAATCTACCTCAGAGGCCATCTGTTGCTGCAGACCACTTTCCCCTCTTGCTCCTGCCCGCTGCCACCTCCACGTGCTGGCAGGAGATTTTGTGGAAAGCCACATCCCACCGGCTTGATCCCTTGCTGCTTAGGAGCAGCATCTGCTTGGGGTTTCATGGGTCAGTGCCATCTCACTGAGCTTCTTTGGGGTGCCACACAACCAGGCTGGGTTTGGCAGGTGAGCAGCAGTGGCACCTCTCACCCCACACTCTCCTCCAGGGCGGACCCTAAGCTGGGCTTTGCTGTTGGTGCCTCTTGTGCAGCGAAGTCGGGCGTAGCTTTAGTTCTGCTCCGCCGCCCCGGGAACAGGCGGCTTGTGTGTTCCCTTGGCTGGGTGAGGAGAGAGGGCACAGAGGTGGGGGGAGCTGGGGTGCTCTTCCATAGGCAGTCCAGGATTGATCCTTGGCGTGCCCCTTGCTCAGCTCTTCGGGCAGCTGAGCTCTGGCTCTCTCCCAGTGCAATTCCAGCTTGAGGCTGGCGCAGTTGTTCTTCTCATCAGTCGTGTTTTGAGGAATGGGTGAGAATTGATTTTCTGCCCCTCTTCGAGTTGAGTTGGGGTTTTTTCCCCTGTTTCTGTGGGTGCCTTTTGTCCCTTCCTCCCCCTCTCCTTGTTGGGGATGCATGGGAGGGAGAAAATGTTCAGGGATACGAGGACAATTGGTCAAATTCCTGTTGGTCCTCCATCCTCACGACCTATGAGTGTCCAACAAAAGATATTGGCAGGAGAGGGCTTCCCCCTTTCTCAGGGGAGCTGGGGAAGGAGGCTGGAACAGAGCCCTTGGAGGTATCTTGCAGTTGCTCCTCATAGCCCATGCTGGGTCAGTGACACACATTTTGGCTCAGAGGCAATGGCAGTACCCGCGGGGCAGCGAGACCAGAGGGGGAAAAGAGCTTTATGTTTGGGGAGGACGTGGAAAAGGTCTAGTGTGAGAGGTTTTTCCTTTCTCCTCCTCTTCCCCTCCCCAGCCATCCACTGCCACGTGCCCTCCAAGAGCGACTGCTGGCCGGGATCTCTCCGGAGCCTCGGCCGGTCCTTTCCACAAGGCCGGTGCCTCGACAGCAGCTGAGCTGTTGACTCTGTTAACAGGTGACACATAACAGCCCCCAAAAAGCTGGCTGCTGAACGATTCCCCCTGCCTGCCTGCTTTGCTTCGGGCAGCTTTTCCACTTGCACAATGCTGTCTCTTCCTACAGTAGCTGATGATGCTTTTGTATCCCAAGTGCCTTATGTTGTAGCCTCTGTGTATTTTAGCAGTAGCTGAAAACCCTTCCTCTTTACTATGTATGTACAACATATGCTACATTTATGTGGTTTTTTGTTTTCTTTTTGATAGAGCTACCAGGAAAAGGGACAGTTAGTTATGGAAGCATTTCCATGTGTTCTTCCTATCATTTGTTTTTTTAAACCTATAAGCGATGGGGCTTTTTTTTTTTGCCCTCCCCTATATTTAGTCCTCAGAAATCCCCATCCTTCTGTTAGACCCAAACCTGGCAGGTTATGTTTTTTTTTTTAAGGCTGAGCCTTTGTTGTGAGGCAATATCCACTGTCATCCTGGAGGTATGCAATCCCCTCTCCATCAGAGGGGCTGCTCCTGTCTCTGTGTTGTAGTCCAAGCACAATCCCTCAGCTGCAAGCCCACAGTAACTGCTTCTATGTCCGTGTCATTTCTCAGCAGATCGAGCCTTTTTTTCAGCCCAAAGAGCTTTTTTCTTTCCCAAATGGAGTGTTTTTCTTATGAGCCCTTATTGGTCAGTCTGACCTTGATTTCTCTGTGTATAAAATGCCACGAGCTCACTTCCCTTGAGTGGATGCTCTTCTCATGCCCCATCTTGTCAAGCCCTGTGCCATCTGCAGAAAAAACCATAGGATCATTGGGTGAGGTTGGAAAACACCTCCAAGGTCATCAAAATCCAGCCTTTAATCCAACACTAAGATCCAAGATCCAACCCCACACAGGGGCTCTTGTCCACCACAGTGCACAAGGTGAAGGACACTATCCAAAACTGCAGGTCTTTACTTCCAGTGTGACACTATTGCTTGCACCCTTCCCCGTGGGCTTGAGGCTGCTTTTGTAGTCCATGTCCATTATCCAACCCAAGGAGATCAGGAATTGAGTAGCCTGTGATTTTTGGGGTGAAGCATAGTGCTCTCCTGTCCTAGCCTAGTAGAGCTGTAAAATACCAGCAGTAGTTCTCTCTTTCTGTCTTTAGATAGTTGGAGAATGGGCTTGGGAAGAGGAAGGGGTGGAGGAAGATCAGATGTAGCATTTCACATACAATTTTTGAGTGACTCTTACCTTATGGGGCATTACAGTCGCGTTTTGTCGTCTTCTTGTTGTTGTTTAGGATTCTTTCTTCTTACTCATCCTGTTTGGGTTAGTAGTAGACAAGTTCCAGTTCCCCTGTAGGTCCCCTTACCTTCAACTCACTGTTTTAAAATGTATGGTAGGTTTCCTGGTTGGAGGGGGGAAGAGTGGCTACTCTAAGATGTCTCTTCCTTGTCTCCAAGTGACTCTGGAAGCTTGGAGCTACCTTGCCTTTGCTGCAGTGCCTGTGGGTTCACAGCAGCCTTGGGCTCTTGCCTTTGGTAGGTGGACCCCAAATTGTGTCAACAGTGGATAGAAATGATGGGATTTGACTTACAGCCTTCCAGAAACAAAAGGTTGGTTTGGTAGGTTTTATACCCAACAGTGAAATATGTTCCTTTGGCTCGGGGCTGTGTGTGGAGTTTTGCTGGGAAGAATGGCTGTTGGAAAAGCCAGGCAGAGGCATGTAGTTCCTCCTCAAAAATGTTGAACTCAATGGATCAAACTTCAGCAAAGGAACTCGAGGAAAATTTATCTTCTTCCATATTTCCTAATTTTGGATTGGGTGGGGGGAATTAACAGTCTCTGGTGTTTTATCCTGTTTGTTTCATTCTTCCTGTCACTTCAGTTTTTGTACGGATTTTGTTTGTTGTTGTTCGTTGTTAAATGACTCTTGTGATAAACTCAGCAAAAGTATTTTTCTGAAATAAATGAATAAAAGGCATAGATTCTTCCACTGCTGCTGTCCAGTGATGCTTTATCACTTCTAAGCTGTACATGTGGCAAAGCACCTGTGATGGGTTGTACTGGTCTTTTCTCCTGTCATACCACGCTAATCTTTGCAGCATCTTGTGTCCTCCTATTCATGGAATCATGGAATGGTTTGGTTGAAAGGGACCTTAAAGCTCATCTGCCATGGGCAGGGACACCTCTCACTATCCCAGGTTGCTCCAAGCCCTGTCCAACCTGGCCTTGGACACTTCCAGGGATCCAGGGGCAGCCACAGCTTCTCTGGGCAACTTGTGCCAGGGCCTCCCCACCCTCACAGGGAAGAATACCTTCCTAATATCCAATCTAAATCTACCCTCTTAGCTTAAAGCCATTCCCCCTTGTCCTGTCAATCCATGCCCTTCCAGCTGGGCTTCATCTTCCCGCATTTCCCACGTCCACAACACAGGCAGCTGCTCTGGAGGTCATTACTCGTGGCTGCCTTCATCACAGGGAATGGTGGAGAAGGGTATTTGGAGGAGATGACTTATCTGATGTGGTTTAGGCACATATTTTTGGGTGAGTTAAATTTGTATACTTTGTGCAGCTGGCCCGGGGATATGACATGACTTGGCTCAGGATTAGGTTATGGTTTTGTAGCATGTTCAGAAAATAGTTTCAGACTTTCTTTTCTCCAGCTCCAGTAATTTCATCTGTAAGTTCCTGGTCTCTTGAGGAGTGAGGTGGACCAGAGATACCCGAAGTGATCCTCAGTCAGAGTGATCAGCAGCACAAAACGGGCCCAGAAGGGAAGAGCGGTGACCTTTCTGAACAAGGGGAGCAGGAGGGAGCTGTCATGTGGAGACTCAGCTGTCTGAGGGGAAGTGGGAATCCACAGCACAAAAGCTGGTTTAAAGAAGCATTTTGTTCCAAAGTGCTTTGTTCTCCTCTGTGTGCATGACAGCTGCCTCTTCTTTTTTATTTGTGCTCCACGGCAATACCTGGCAGGTGACATTTGGGGTGATAACATCCCTGCCACGTTTACCTTCGTGGAGAGATGAGTAATGTGACTCTAAAGTGGAGCACAAGTCTCATAACTTATTGCTATGCTAACTGCCTGTATTCCCTTTTCCTTGGAGCCCTGCCTGGTGAGATGACAGGCTGCATAAGATGGGCTTAGATGGTATCTCAGCCCTGAAATCATTCTCTCAACCTTTTGTTAAAAACATGCAGAACTCCTGGGAGCAGATTTGTGTCCAGACCTCTGCTATCTCCAGAGAGCCAAACTCACCACTGCATTTTGAGTAAATCCAAAATGTCACTTTGTGGAGTTTTCCCCCCCCCGCCTTATTTTAATCCTAAACTATTCCAGCCATTGAGGTAATTCTATTTAAAACAGATTTACTAACACTTCTATAGCAACTGCATTTTTATTGCAATTTTAAAACAATGTAAACTGGCAGTCTTCACTATTTGAGGGTGAAAGGCCCTTTTGACTCTGAGAGAAAACTAGAGTGGTTTTCACTCCAGGCTTCGGA